TTTTCTAAAGCAGTGGTTGTTTTGCGTTTTACCCGGCCGGGTTTTACAAATACCCGGTCGGGTTTTTTTCCAGGCCCCACCAAAAAAAAAACTTTTTTTTTTTAAAAAGAGTTTTCTCACACACACAAAAATAATTCAAAACACAAACTTGGGTTGCCTCCCAAAAAGCGCTTGATTTAATGTCGCGGCACGACGTTTATTTATTTATTTTTTTTTTTTATTTTTTTATTTTTATTATTATTTTTTTTTTTGTTTTTATGTGGGATCGTGAATATCCCTTGTTTCATTCTTTTTCTTCGGCCTTTTCCAGTAAGGTCGAATTTTCTTCCTAGTTACCACTTCAATGGTAGGTGGTTTTCCTTTCAAAATGGATTTTCTGGGTTCTTCCTTAACAAAAATATTCAGTGTTGGTGGTTCAAAAACATTTAAAGAACAAAGAGATTGATTTTTAATTTGTTTTTTAGTAGAATCAAATATGTTGAATTCTACTTTTTGGTTATCAAATTCTATCGTTAATGAACCACTAGACACATCAATTTTTGTTTTGGCGGTTTTCAGAAAAGGCCTTCCCAAAAGAATGGGTGTTGTTTGGTTATCATCCCCCATTTCAAGAACATAGAAATCAACAGGGAAAACCAAATTTTCTACTTCTACTAGCACATCTTCTATTACACCTTTTGGGTATGTATTAGATCGATCCGCTAGTTGAATCACTACACCAGTTTGATGTAGCGGGCCGAGTTGTAAGGATTTATACAAGGAATACGGAATGACATTTATTGATGCTCCTAAATCCAACAACGCCTTAGAAAATATGGTGTCCCCTATTTTACAGGGAATAGTGAACATGCCCGGGTCACTACATTTTTCGGGAAGTTTCTTTTGAAATAGAGCCGATACATGTTCACTAACCTTGACTTCTTGTTTTTCTTTCAATTTATTTTTTGTTTTTGTGTTGCATAATTCTTTTAAAAATTTGGCAAAACGGGGAACACTTTTAATTGAGTTAAGGAGTGGAATGTTTACCTCACATTTGGAGAAAGTTTCATAGATGTCAGCATCTTTGTCCAGCTTCCTTGTCTCCTTCAATGCCTCGGGGAATGGGGCTACTAGTTCATACGATGAAAATGGAGGGAGTTTCACCTTTGTGGTTCTTTCCTCAGATTGAGCTTCTTTTTCATGATCAACCTCCTCGATCTCTTGGTCATTCTTTTCTACCCCCTTCAACATGATTGCATTCACATGTTGTCTCGGATTTTGCTTCGTTTGAGATGGGAGTTTACCCGAGTCCTTTGCTTCAAGTCGGCTTACGGCATTTGAAATTTGGCTAACTTGGGTTTCCAAATTTTTTATGCTTGACTTTGTCTCATGTTGGAATTGTATCATGGTTTGTTGAAATTGTCCCATGCTTTGTTGCATGGTAACCATGTTTGAAGTCAAAGCTCTTATCATGTCATCAGTTGACATATTAGGTTGAGAATTTGAGCCTTGATTGTTGAAAGGTGATTGAGAAGGTGAGTTTGATTGTTGGGGGTTTCCGTACCTCAAGTTTGGATGATCCCTCAATCCGTGGTTGTAAGAGTTTGAGAATGAGTCGTACCTCCTTTGTTGATGTCCTTGGAAACCCAAGGCGTTGACTTGCTCCAAATTCTCCTCTTGTATTGATGGACATGAATCGGTCGGATGCCCTTGTGTTGAACATATGCCGCAAACCTTGACTTCTTGGGTTTTGGGTTTTAAGAGAAAATCTTTAACCAAAGAAGTCAAGCCGGCCACTTGACTTTCCAACGAGGTGTTGGATTCCGCCACGGCAACCCTTCGGGTTGAGGATCGCCCATTGTAGTATCTAGAATTCTCGGCCAATTCCGAGATGAGATTTCTTGCTTGAGAAGGGGTTTTGTTAACAATCCCCCCTCCACTCGCCGCATTGACCATGCGCCTATCTTGATCCGCAAGACCATCATAAAAGTAAAGGATGAGGTCTTGCTCAGTGTACCCATGATATGGGCAGCTAGCACACAACTTTTTGAATCGCTCCCAATATTCATATAAGGACTCATCATCTTTTTGATCAATGTTGCTTATTTGTTTTTTCAAAGATGATGAGACAGAAGCGGGATAATACCTTTCTAGGAAGCATTTCTTCATTGCTGCCCATGTATCTATACTCCCCGAAGGGAGATAGAATAGCCAATCCTTTGCGGTGTCTTTAAGGGAGAATGGGAAAGCCCTCAATTTGATTTGCTCCTCGGTGACTCCATTTGGGCACATGCTCGTGCAAACAATATGGAATTCCGAGAGATGTTTGTTTGGGTCCTCTCCTCTTAGCCCGTGGAAGGAAGGAAGTAGATGGATAAGCCCCGATTTGAGCTCAAAAGTATTACCTTCATTGAGTGTAGGGAAGGTAATACACAATGGTTGTTGGTTGAGATTTGGAGCGGTGAGCTCCCTCAATGTTCTCGTCTCTTGAGCCATAGTGATTGGCTCTTCGTTCTCGCTAGAATAAGAACTAGCGCTTGATGATTCCTCCGAAGAAGTATTCGGAAATAAATTCCTAAACCTCTCGAAGGCTTGTTCCGTTTCGGGATTTGTTTGGTAGGTGATTTGGTTTATAGATCGGTGTTTAACCATATACTCAAACAAAGCTCAGAAATAGAAAATAAGAGTTCTTTATATTTTTATTTAATTATTTTTTTGTTGATTTTTCTTGAAATAAAATAAAAAGAAAAATAATTGCCTTTCCCCGGCAACGGCGCCAAATTTGACGTGCACTTTGTCGTAGTGTGCACTCAAAATAATAATACAATACAACACTTATACGTAGTATAGCGTAGTAAGGTTCGTATCCACAGGGAAAGGAATATTTCTCTTTTTAATTAACTAGTAACAAAGGGGGTTTTTAGATTTGATTTGATTTAATTAACACTAAGATGAATGACTTAAATGAGTTTAATTAATGAGAAGAAGACTTGGCTTTGCTTTTATCCACTTAATGAAATGTTCGTCGATCCCGGTTATATCTTTAACTATCTTCCTCTCGAATACTCAATCGAGGAGTATATCCAGTTCATCGAGGGTAGTTATTAATAACGAGAAGCGTTCATTAATAAAACTTACTATCGAGTCAATATAGAACAAGCGCCGTATATTAAATTGATAGTAGCAATAAACTTAAGATGAAAACGATTGAGATTGATAACCTCAACACAAGCGGTTTATTGGTTTAATCAATATAATTAATTCCCCTTAGATTATTAACCATGAGATGCATGCATTAATAATCCAAGTTTACTACCATGAAAGGACCGAATTAATAACAAGCGTATTAATCGACCGATTCTAGTATTAATTAATATATGAAACAAAACTAGTTGATCCTTTAAGTAATGTTCAAAATATTAATATGAAATATGAATAGGAATTAATTAATACTCAAGAAAGAATATTAAAGAAGATGAATCCTACTATAGTTAATATCAAGATGTTAACTAATTGTCATCTTAGTAACACTCCCCGATATTAACGTAGAGGAAGAAATAACTATTACTATAACTAATGTCAAGATGTTAACTAATTGTCATCTTAGTAACACTCCCCAACATTGATATAGAAATAGTATTTAAAGAAAGAATTAATATTCAAGGAAGAAGATTAAAGATAATAACTCACAACTTACAAATTCATTAAGCTTCAAAGGAGCAAAACCAAGATGGAAGAGTTTAGCTCCTCATTTGGAGACTAAACATGCTATAAAAATATAAAAGAAATACTATTCTAAACTGAGCTTAAGAGTATGGAAGAAGGGATGATTAAAAGTGAAGGAAAATGGGGTTATTTATAGGTGTTTTCAACACCTAATGCCGGATACCCGGCCGGGTATTTGCTATACCCGACCGGGTATTTGTCAAATCAAATCTTTTTCCCATGTTCTGGTGTTCTTTTGCACGTTCGTTTGCCCGAAATCACTTCATACCCGACCGGGTATAGGGAATACCCGACCGGGTATTTGATAAAACTTCCCAGAAGCTTCGTTTTTCACCTTATACCCGACCGGGTAAATGCCATACCCGACCGGGTAACTCACCAAATCACATTTTTTGCATGATTTCTTGCTCCCTTGCACCTTCCTTTGATCTTATAAGATATCTTCCATGCTCCTTTGTTGTAGACTAATTTATTCAAGCTTAAGATCTAAAACAAATAAATTACAATAAACTAGGAAAAATAAAGTATTACACCAAAAGTGTGTAATTTCTCAAACAACAATAAATAAAACTAGTTAAAATTACAAATATAAACCATAACAATTCTATACTATCACTAGGCTGATAGGGTGGGGCAAGGCTGAAATGGTAAGGCAGGTATGGGGGTGATGTGGGCAGGGATAGGCTGGAGTGATGGGGGTAGTGCAGGGCTGTGGTGATGGTGGTGGGACAGAGCAATGGTGTTGCAGGGACAACCGCCATTGTGGCGGCCGGCTGTGGCCACCGTGACTAAGGCGGGCCGCGTCACTAAACGAAAACGACCACAGTGACACGGGCGGTGGCCGCAGTGACACGGGTGGTGGCCGCAGTGACACGGGCGGTGGTCGCAGTGACACGGGCTGTGTTTGTAGTGACATGAGTGGTGCCTGTAGTTACAAAAAAACGAACACGCAGTGACATAAAATTTTTGCAGTTACATCATGTTTTCTAATTGCACATATATGACCTTTTTGATCACTTTTTTGCCCCTTTTTAAAAGTGGTCACTTTTTGGGTAATTGGTTAAAAATTAGTAATATCCAAGTAAAAAACCCTTAATTAATGGTGAAAAGAATTAATTTAGAATCACTATCAGTAACTGGGCCGGGAATCAGACAAGGTAAACAATATACCAGTTTCACTCGGGGGGGGGGGGGGGGGGGGCAATCGACCGGTCTCAAAACAGCCCAGGTCCTCCGATCCCCTCATTGAGAATGGCAAACAAGAACACTAGCATGTGTGTAATGATATAATGCATAAGAGCATATATAAATAATTATTTAAGGAAGTTATAACACATATATTCAGATCAAGGAATTCAGAAATGGAGATAATAACAAGTGTCATAAACAAAAAAGGCATAACGGCATTGTAGGCTACACCTAAATCCAAGTAACAGGGAGAAAGTAAAAGCGCAAGAAGTGCTCCGCCTGAGCAACTTAGAATGTAAAACGCTGTCTTTACCCTTCTTGTTTTGAGTACCCTTGTGCAAAAGCTCTTATTTCTTAGACTTTGGAAAATTCACCTGCAAGGAAAAAAGAGGAAAGAATATGATTTTACATCAATAATACACTTCATTAAAGAAAAAAAGGAGTGTTAATTTAAGTAACATTATCACTAGATTTTGTTTTTTGGTGAACTAAATCAAGGTGCAAGGTTTAATTAGTTATGAATGGTTAGTTGTACCTCCAAAACTTATCTCTAAGGTTGTTTGGAGTCAATGACTAAGCCAGCTTTAGCTTGGCTTTAAAGAAAGATTGCTTGGAAAAGAATTTTTTACTATTAAAATCACACTTTTAAGGGACTAAAAAAGTTGTTGAAACACGACTCTTTTTTAAGAAAGAGTAACTCTTGACTAAAGGAGCATGGTTGAGAGAAGCAAGACATGAACATTCCACTCACGAAATGCTAAGTTTAACACTTAGGAAGTGAAAGGGCTGCAACTTATACACATCACATATGCAAGAATCATAAATAGCTATTTTCATTTTTAAAACAAAATGGCCTGCAGAAAAAATATTTATTGCACCATTGCTCTCAAAAACATCAAATCAACCCATTTGAATTGTAACATATGTCATTTATAACTTTTTGAGAGCCTTAAACCACTTTAGCATTGTAATATAACAGAAGGCGTATTAACTTAACAATTGAAAGCTTCATGCTAGGGTAAAATGGTAAATTCGGACATTCTATATAGAATTATAGATCACTATAATCATCCTAAAACAAGTATATAAATATCACAAGTGGTCTAATGGAGAAGCAAATTATGTAAAAATGCAGCCAGATACTAAAACAAAAAAAGAAGTATGGCATTGTTTGTTCCGTATAAATGCAGTCAAAGATCAAGCCTACTTATGTAAAACCAGTTGAAATTTCATTTGAAACTATAATGAAAAGGCAAGAATTGTTTAGTAGTTGTGCGTAATACATGAAAACCAAAACTACACATCTAGACCTCTGACTAATTCACAAACATACAATTTTGAAATCTGCATGAACTGTTTAGGAGAAAAGTCATAATTGGAATCTCAGAAACAGATACAAAACAAAATATGTACCACCCTCATTTTAGCTACCACAACAAAAAAGAAAAAGAATGCCTGAAAATCCACCAAGACATGTCTACATCACAGAAAATCTAGCATGAGATACGGGAAGTTTACCATGGTTGAATCTAGATAGCTGGAAATAGATTGAATATGCTTTGCTACTCTACAACCAAAAATAAGTGAGTGGTAAGAATTGGTAATACATCTGTATGCATATAGTCTGTACATAATGTAGTTTCCTTTGGAAATTGCCAAAGTACCCGTGATGTTTATAATATGATTTAATATCTAATGTGTTATTGTTCCCAATCAAATATTACAGACAACAGAACATCAACTATATCAATGTTGATGGTCATTTTGAGGGTTAAAATACTAATTCTGAAATTTTTGGAAATTCTTTCCGAACCAAAGAATGTAGGGGTCAAATCAGCCTGTGTTGTAGCTGTATAAATTGAAGTATTGAACTATGTTCAATTTTTCACAAGAGCAGCAAAAAAATATCTTCGCAAATGAAATTATTTTTTTCTCTGCAACAAAAGAGTTGTCTAAAGTCTAAACAAATGCTTCTCTTTCAGGAGCAAGAAATCAATATTTGAATGTGAGTGTGAAATACCCTTAAGCTGACCAGCAGCATGAATCAAATATTGCACTACATGACGTTGTTGGCAGCGTTCCCCCAAAAGTGAGAGTCTTATAACCTTTAGTAACAAAATTGTATGCAATCAAAGTTCCTTGCTCGCGTTCATCATAAGCTAGCAAGATTTCCTCATTGTTAAGAAGGCATACAATCCGTAACATTTCGTCCCCATGGCTCCTCCAATTGCGATCAAACTTAAGAAATTCGCTCCCAAAAACATACTGCTTTACCCAAGATGATTCCATTCCGTATGTTTTCATCACCCAAATATGCACCCTTGAATCAACTCTTCTTACGCCAACCGACAAACATTCCCCTAAAACAACAAGTTGAGATCTTTTACTATTTCGAAATATAACCTCCACGGGCATGGGAACCTCCTTGACAGAATAATCCATGATGTCAATCGATGTTATATTAGGAAGAAGAGTCAATTTCCCTTTGTTTTTCACAGTCACACAGTGGAGTCTCCCATTGACCAAAACTCCTTGATTTCCTGACCGATCTTCTACTTTAAAAGGAAAATCTCCTAATCTTGTCCACTCGTTTCTACTCAAACTATATACATAGGCTTTTGACCTAAATTCAGTCAAACCTAAAACAGGGCGTATAGCAAATACTTTGTACTCTTGTGTAACTGGATGGCATGCAGCCCAATATGAATAAGATAACGGGTAATATCCAGAGTCCACCTCAGGTACAAGTTTATAGTCCCCTGTGAAAGGATCATAAAAGCATTTCCGCTTAAAATTAAAACAATCATTTAAGAACATGATGCCATTAGATGAGCTCCGCACCGAAAATGATCTTAGTGTGAGATCGCGAAATGCATTTTCAATTTTCCTTGCAATCAATCCTTTTTCATTAATATCAGAGAATTCGACAAAGTGGAGTTCATTTTGAAGTGATGAATAGAAATAGAGGAGTTTCGACGATGTACTACTCCTCTGAGAGAAGTGCATCCGGAAAACATGGGAATCATGAGACCAGAGTTCCCAGGAACGACAAACAGACCTCGACTGGAAAATAGATTTGACATTGGGAAGCCTCGAGAGAATGTCCTTGGCGATTTCTGGCGGCAAACAACCAAATCTATTCTTGGGCTCATCTTCAGCTACTTCTTTGTTCTGCTTTAAGAGGAGACGGTTACTTCTCCTCTTTGGTTTTGGGAGATCCATGGCTGTAAGATTCTATAGATTAGCAACTCAGATGACTATTAAACTAAAGATGCATATCAGCCTCCTATTTCGGTTAATTTCATTTGTCCCACTCTTTTCCCCTGAACTTCCCAGGAGTCACTTGTTTGCCCCCAAACAATGATGATTAGCTAAATGAAGGGATCTATCTGCCATTTTTGAATAACAAAATACATTAAATTCATCATAAACTGAAACAAACATGAATGTTCAAGTAATGGAGCCTCTTCATGTTATGACTTATTAATCAACAAGCAATTATAAAAAATACAATCGCATTATATGATAACTCGAAAAATGAAAAACCAGCACTTTCCACCAAAGCACCTCTTAACAAACGAATATCACAATAAAAGAATCAAAGGCAAGAACAGTACTACTGTGGAAACAGACACTTCAATAGGAACACTTCGAATACCATAGAAACAAGCAGAGCGTTTCAAAAAACTTTATGCACAACAGAAATATTAGAAGCAAGCAAGTTCTTAATTTTAATATATTAGTGGAAAAAATCAGAAACAAAATTACGACTGGCAATACACGGATGCCATAGTTATGTCTATGCTTTCCTAAACAAATTCGGGATAAAATGTCGAATAAGACAAACTAACCCTTACTTTCAAAAAAAAGACAAACTAACCCAGAAAATGTGGTGGGACTACAATCCAAAAATCCAGAGACCTCCATGACTTTCATGAAAACGAGAAGAAATGCTGAATTAGGGCTGGAAAGCCTCCAACCTCAAGTAATCCAACCTCAAGTAAGAAAATTGTATTTATGTTATTAATATTGAATTGATAAAATAATACTAGTAATAATTAGAATCATACATATTTTACTAAATTTGGTATGACATAATTTTTATGTGCCGAACCAAAACAAAAAAGATAACAATAACTATTTAGGATGTTTGACTGTTTGACATTAATTGTAGCCGGCTTTAAGCTTGTTTGATAATATTGAAATTGATTGCATGGAATGAATCCATTGAAATTAGTGATATTCTAGTTGAAGTGAATGAATTTGATGAAAGGAGAAAAAATATTTTAAAAATATTATTGATAAAACTAAGAAAAGTTAAATTAAAATAGCAAAAATCGTCTTTTGACAATATCTTTAACCAATTTTTCTTGAAAACTAACTTTAGTCATACTTATTTTTATTGTTATGCACCTTAACCCGGGTAAATTAAAAGATATGTGTTTTGTAAAGAGTTGACTAATAAAATTGAAAACGGGGATTAGCTAATTTATTTTATAGTCAAAGCTTAGCTATTTAGAAATATACTAAATAAATATTTTGCTGAATTGCAAAATCGAGTTTATTAAAAAAATTGTTGGCAAATATTTGTACTCAAAATTAAAAATAGAAAAGAATAGGTTTTTCTTAATACATTATTAAAATAAAATTTATTGGCAAGAATGTGACTAAAGTTATTATGAGTATATTTCTATGATCACCATGATGTCAAATTTGAACATTATTACAGTTATATTTATATATTAAACCCTTACAATTTAAAAAAAAAAGTCAGAACAATGCTAATATTCAAAGAATTGCCCTCGAAAAATTGACTCGAATCTTCACGATCAATAGTGATCCCGAATTGCCTGCATTCCGGATAGTGGAACTACGTAACTAAATAAGTAAAAGAATAAGAACTTACAAAATACTGGTATGTGCCGGTGGAAACCATAAATCGTCGAATTCCTCACTACAAAGGGCAATACACTAAAATCTTTGTATTTAATTGTGAAATTGTCACGGGCATAGAGTCTGGCACAGCGCGCAGCGCCCGTGCGGCGTCCCCGGATCCCTCACCCCGCAGACAAGCCTTGCTCTCATACAGAACCAGACTGGTTTCGCCCTGCCTTGGGCTCATCAGGGGAACGGCAATAGCTCCCGACCAGTTGTGCCTTCATGCCCGCCTCCGTCTCCTTCATAGTCTAGCCCTACATGCCCGACTCGGCCAGACCTTAGCGTCTAAGGCAGAACTCCCCTTGACGCTATTGCCTCCCCCATGCCTCGCCCGTCCAGCTAGTTAGTCGGTCCGTCCCATTCATTGAGCCTAACACGGTCACGACCAACGGTCCGTGACACTCTCCCCCACCCAAACTCTAGCACGTCCTCGGGCTAGGGGAGATGACTCTGCCCAAGGATCGTCATGCTTAATATTGTCAACGTGCCGCATCACCAGGGCCGCCTCTCTCTCAAGCAGCCCGGCCGCGCTGGTGGCCACCCGAGTCCCCATCCTCTCAGGAACCCATCCGCCCCTGCGGACCATCAGGAGTACGTGGAGCCGTCATCAGCACGTACCAGCCCTAGAGCCACCATGCTCGCATAGTCCTCGTCCCTCACGAGGACCCCACCACAACACACGACAATATAAGCACGACCCGCTCTGATACCATTTGTCAGGAATTTAATTTACACACACGAAAAAAAACACCGAAGAACAAGGAGGAGCGTGCTTAAATGCATAATGTCCCATACGCATCTGCAATTGGCAGCATAATGTACGTGATGGTGTGCACAAGGCCAAACATTGCACATGCTGTGGGAGTAGTGAGCAAATTCATGGGAGACTCGGGAAAGAACACTGGGAAGCTGTGAAGTGGATCATGAGGTATTTGAAAGGTACTGCTTCTAATGCTTTGTGTTTTGATGGGAAGAATGTAGAGCTGCTGGGACATGTTGATGCAGACCCGACATCAAATGACTCAGATGGATCGAGGAGCACCACCGGGTATGTTTTTACATTTGGTGGAACGGCAGTTTCTTGGCTTTCGCAGCTGCAGAAGATTGTTGAATTATCTACCACTGAAGCTGAATATGTGGCCATTACGGAGGCAAGTAAGGAGATGGTGTGGCTTCAGAATTTAATTGGGGAACTTGGGAAGGAGTACAAGAATAACATTCTTTACAGTGACAGTCAAAGTGCTATCTTCTTGGCCAACAACTCAGCTTTTCACAAGAGAACCAAACACATTCGGTTGAAGTATCACTACATCCGTCATCTTCTGGAGATAGAGGCATTGCAGCTTATGAAGATCCGTGGGAGTGAGAATCCAGCAGACATGTTTACTAAGGTGGTAACCTTGGAGAAATTGAAGCTTTGCATAGCTTCAATTGGCCTGGGTACTTGAAGATGAAGGCCGGCGCTACCATTCTTACAAGGGAGGTTTGAAGAAGACAGTCTCTAGGTGGGAGATTGTAAGGTGTTAGAGACAGTTTCTTAATTTATATTTGGAAACACGTTTCTTAATTTATTTCAGGAAACGCATCCTAGTTGCCTTGGGGTTAGGATTTACTTCTCTATAAATACAAACTCTCTCCCTTGTAATCATTGTGTGTGGATCCGAAAATAGCAATAAAATTCCTGGCTTGGTAGTGCCCCCAGACATAGTCATTCGTGGCGAACTGGGTTACCAAATTTCGTGTGTTTTTCGTTATTGTTTTTTTTCGTGTGCGTAAATTAAATTCCTGACAAATACTACATACAACATTACTATTATTATTATTATCAGCATTTCATTATATCTCCTTTAAATAAGTGTGGGAAGAATTGGGATTAGCAGAGTTATAGATCTATCTGTATATATTATGTACATAATGTAGTTTCCTTCGCTGATTGCGAAAGAACCGGTGATGTTTAATATTTCCTTTAATTTCTAGTCTATTGTTGTTTGCAATAAAATATTACTTACTAAGTACAAAAGGACTTACGGGTGGATCAAGCCCGGATCGGGTCATGGGTGGGTCAATTTTGGGGGCATTAGGCCCGGTACCGGCCCAGGTAGGTTCCCGGACCGGACCGGGCCCGGATCGGTCCTATATATATTTTTTAAATTTGTTTTTATTATTGATTCATACCCCCCCCCCCCCCACACACCCCCAAACCACCTAGCCCAACACGCCTCTTGCATCCGAAAAAACAAAACAAAATAAAGAATTGGGCCCAAACCAGTCCGGACCGGCTGGGCCAGTTCCAAGAGGGCTGCAGCCCGAGCCCGCCCCCAAAACACCCTCGGGTCGGGTCCTAGGCCCGGTCCCGGTCAACTGGACCGGTCGAGTAACGCATAGTGGTCATCCGGGCCAGGTACCAGTCCCAGTCCACCTCTAACAGGACTACAACTACATCAATTTTGACAATCATTTTGTAATTTTTGTGGATCAAAATCCTATACTGAAACTTTTAGAAATTCTTTCCCGAACCAAAAGGACGTATACACTTCTCTTGTTTGGTCTGGGCCCTGGGGCGATCCAAATCTATAGATTAGCGAATAGCGACTGAGATGAATATTAAACTAAAGATGCATTTCAAGTTTCGACCGCATATTTAAGATAATTTCATTTATGCCCCTCTTTTTTCCATGAACTGTCCGTCCAGGAGTCTCCTGTTTCCCTAAACAATTATGAATAAATGGCTTCAACTATGTGAGGTAAACTTGGACTCGGGTCGGGTCGGGTCGGGCCCGGGCCATGCCTAGGCCCGGTTGGGCTTTATGGGTTTGGGGGTGGGCCCGGAAGTCCGGAACCGACCCGGTTATCCACCTGTGCCGGGTCGGGCTGGGCCCGGCCCGGGTCCGGTTCAATTTTTTTCCTCTTAGTTATTTCATCCCCTACCCCCGTCCCCCCCAAACCCATCGGAAACACCCAGCCTAGCCCATGTTAAACCCAGCCCAATCAAAAAAAGAAAAAAAAAATTAAAATAGGCCCGAGCTGGGCCCAGCCTGGCCGGGCCAGAACACCTTTCAGGCTACCTGAGCCCGTCCCCGCTTTCCCCTCCGGTTCAGGTCAACACCCGGTACCGGTTCGAATGACCAGACTGGTCCCGGGCCCGCACAATAGCGGGCCGGGCCGGGTGGCCCGAACCGGCTCCATGACTAATGTGAGGGAATTTATCTACCATTTTTAGAAGAGAAAAAACATCAAATTCATGATAAATTGAAAGAAGAGAATGATCAGTGGGCGTAGCTCAACTAGTAGCGAATGAGTGCAGGGTTAGGTCACGTGTTCAACTCCCGACAACTACGATACGAGGTTACTCAATAGAGGATCTCTGCAAGTACCGGGAATGAGCTCAACTCTCTATGTATCAGATTGCGATTATAGTCCAATTTACATCCTCTCATCGTGCCAACCAGTCAGTGTTGGAGGCCCTCAAGGATGGGTGTCATCCTTTTTTTTTTCGGAAGAGAAGGTAATGGACAGCCACTGAAAAAGACAAGGATGGTAAAGCAATAGAGCCTTTTCAAATTTCAAGTTATGACTTATTAATCAATATGTGAATCTAAAATAAATACAATGGCAGTATATGCAGGCTTGGACCCGGTTCGGGCCACCTGGCCCGCTACTGTGCGGGACCGGGACCAGCCCGGTTCTTGGGTCCGGGTCGGGCCTAGGCCCGGTGGGGGGCAGGTCCGGGCTCAGGTCTTATATGACTAAGTATATGATAACTCAGAAAATGAAAAAGCATCACATTACAGCAACAAAAAACATTCCATACAAAGGCAGAAACAGTAAACAGACATTTCAATAGGAACACTTCCAAATTCCAATACCATAGAACCAGGATGAGCGATTCAAAAAACTTCATGCACAACAGAAATATTCAACGCAGGCGATTTCGTAACTAATACATAGCATAATATTGAGATACAAAAAACTGAAACAAAATTACAACTCGCAATACACATATGCCATAATTATGTCCTGAAATATGACAAGTAGCAAACGCATCAAATTGTGCAAAACAGAGAATCACCAACAAAATATCATAAAGTGATGTCCTGATATATTTGCTCGAATGAAATAAAACCATAATATGCTAGATGATAGACTTTGCTCAAGAGTCTTGTGAAACAAAAACAAAAGGTTTAAGCTGCTGCATCAATAAATGCTTTTCCAGGCGGGCGTTTTGCAAGAGGTCCGTGACATCCCAAAAGCTATAAAACAGAAAAAGAAATGCAAAGTTACTTACCATCTCAGATATCTCATAAACATGAAATTTGAATAAAGAAGATAGTTTAGCACAACAAAGGAATAGGATTAAACCTTGGCATTGACACCATCAGACACAATGCGGCCTTCCTTCTTGTAGTTCAGATAATCAGTACGGTTGAACTTTGTGAAACCCCTAAAAGTAAGATAGGAAAAAAGACAAGTGATTAGAATCTTCATGACGTGATTATCAAACACGATTCTAGACACAGAATCTTCACTCCAATAATAATAGAGAATAGAGATCTATAACTATGTACTACGTAGTACTTAACAAACCAACTACTGCTTGTCTGCTTCATACGTAGTATGAGAGGCACAATGCTTGAAATCGCTTAATGCGTATTTGAGGCAGTTTCTAAGCATCGCCTATTGTGTAAGCCTCATTGCACAAATGTACATTTAAAAAACACATACTACATCCATCCTAATAAACTTTGCCATTTTTAAAACTTTAACCAACTATATATTTTTATGGGAAATTATTTTATATAAAAGTTATATGAAAATGTTCTTTGTTAAAAGTACTTCCATAAAAGTATAAAATTTATAACTTAACATAATATTATACTAATCAAAATCATGATTCAAATTTTATGAAATGACGGTTTTTTGGGACGGAGGTAGTAAATGTAATAAAGAGTAAAATAGCCCAATCATTAAAAGTAAAAAACTATCATAATAAAAACCAACAAAACTGAGGTCTTACTATCAAGTTTGGGCCCACTGTAACAAATTGTATCATTAATAGAAACAAATTTAAAAACCATTAGTTAGGGTGTCAAGTTTTAATCTTAAGTTCTTAACTATCAAGTTTTTTACAATCCTTACTCATGTATGTTATACGGAGCAGGTTAAATTAGATCAATAATGAACGTAATACTTACCTAGAAAGTATCAAATGAAAAAAAAAAAAAAACTAAAATAATTTGTCCAAAGCATATCCAAGTATATGTTAGAAAAGAATTTAAAAGTTAAAGCCAGTCGTCCAATGCATTGTATGCAAATGAAATGCATCCAATGCATTGTATGCAAATAAAAGTTAAAGCCAGTCGTCCAATGCATTGCAATGCATTGAATTAGATCAATAATGAACGTAATACTTACCTAGAAAGTATCAAATGAAAAAAACTAAAATAATTTGTCCAAAGCATATCCAAGTATATGTTAGAAAAGAATTTAAAAGTTAAAGCCAGTCTTCCAATGCATTGTATGCAAAAAAAACAAACTAAATCATACCATCCATCGCATATATATGAAAAAACGTTTTGAAAAGTTAAATCCATGCAGCTACCTGCTGCCCTTATCCTCCTATATTCGAAATCATACCTACGGAGCTATGTTATTGTTAAAATCATACAGCTGCTCATATTCGCATGATATGAAAATAGATATTCAAATAATTTAAAGCTATTATTAGTGGTTGTCCAGAAGCGGTGAAGGAGGAAAATTAGATAAAAATTGACACAAACTTCTCGAAGCCTTCGCGCAGATCTTCTGGAACGCAGAGCTCGCACCCCTACAGCAGGCATCTTCACTTGAGCCATCACCGCGCAGAGAAGTAGACTCACAGGCACATGCCAGCGGTAAGTCACAAGAGACCTTACATACGTAAGGTACTAAGGTTTAAAACATATTTGAGCTTAATTTCACAAGTGGGCCCATCTTCTTGTCTACACCCACAGAAGAGCCTGATTGTCTACTGGAGTCCCCCCTTCATGACAAAGAGCACCTCAATAAATGCTCATTTGTGTACACAATGGGAACACGTATCAGCTACAATTGTGTAAGTTTATATATTGCTCAAATTGGGATATGCCTCCCATCATAAATAGGAGACCAAGGCGCTCTTTGAGGCGATAAGGCAGTGCAATATTTAAAACAATGGTTTAAATAATTGTGTCATAGAAAACATCACGGCACTTCCTCTAAGCATGTTTTCACCCCCATCCTCACCGGCTCACCCCAACAAAAAAGGCATTTGGACTAGTTAAATCTTTTACATTACATTTCAGCAAGGTTTGAAATTGCGTATTGCGTAGTCATGGAGAATTTTTAGAATTGCATATTGTGCAAGTGTGCAACAAAGAATTGCGTAGATAATGAACTAAAGTTGTCGTGGTAATGTGGTATATACGCTGAAGCCTGGACCGGTTATGTCTTTTACTAAAAGTGGGCCAGTGGGCCCAAAAAAACCTTACACATGACACTTCATTTATCGTACGCCATAAGAACGCCTCATTGCGTAGGTTATATTGTGTACGCCTTAACGCACATAACGTACGCTTCAGCCCTGACCGCCATCTGCAATGCAATTTTACGCAATAACCATGGAGATAGGCGAGGCGCGCCATAAGGGGCTATTGCATTGCGCAATTGCAAACGTTGCATTTTAGCAAGACACAACCTAACTAACCATGGAAATATTACATGTGCTTTAATAGACTGCTCTGGTCTAACATAATTAGCCATAAAGGTTCAAATATATTTGTTTGATCAGAGGAGACTTTTGGTCGGGACAAAAACACAAGTTTTTTAAACAAGGCTGCTTTAGTATGATCATGGATTTGAAGTGATGAATCAATCAATATTATACTAACATGTAAACGCAAGATGGCATACCATTTTCTGCTAACAATGATCTTTTGGCGACCAGGGAACTTAAACTTGGCACGACGCAAAGCCTCCTGTGCATTTTGACTGTTGGAATCTTTGCAGCGAACGGACAGAAGAACCTGTCCAATGGCAACGCGGGCACAGACACCTTGTGGCTTGCCAAACGCCCCCCTCATTCCCGTTTGGAGCCTATCAGCCCCAGCACATGACAACATCTTATTAATACGAAGAACATGGAACGGGTGAACCCTAACCCTAAGGTGGAAGGCATCCTTTCCTGCAAACTTGGTCATGTACTTGTTGCAAGCAATTCGGGCAGCTTCAAGGGCCTCACTCGAGACATTCTCCTTCTCCCAGCTGACCAAATGCACGCAGAATGGGAACTCATCAACTCCCTTTTTCTTCATTCCCACATCATAGATCCTAATCTTTGGGTCAGGCACACCACGACAGTACCTTGACTTTGGGTATGGCTTGTTCTTAATCTGGCGGTAACACCTTGCTGGTCCTGATAACAATTTGCACAAAAATATCATCACAATGGTTTTTCCATAAACAGAGCTATCAATTCATAGTACGAAGTATATATCATGAACATCTCCTAAACTTTCAAGTATTTCATTAGTATATGCGAATATACTATGAACAATATAGCTTAATATTTTTAAAAGCCAGACACATCATTTTTATTGGTCGGGATTGACGACCAAGAGTATTAAGCAATGACAAGTCGGAATCCATCATGAATAGTAAGCAAAAAACCAAAAAAAAACCATAATTAAGTAGTATAAACCATATGAAATCATAATGGTATTTCCATACGAAGCTATCAATTCAAGTTTTATATATACCATCAACATTTCTAAATTTTCAACATTAGTTTCAATAGTATAGGCAACTATACTATAAAGATAGCTGACTGGGGTCAAAAGCCAAATACATCAGTTTTCTTGGTTGGGATTGACGAACAAGAGTTAATACAATTGAGAAAAAATAACAAGTCAGAATCCATCATGAATACTAAGCAAAAATCACAAATTTCCCAGAATATACTATGGAGTAATAAACTATATAAAATCGATTCTCAAAAAAAATTATATAAAATCAAAGAGATTTACTTCCATTATTTCCAACGACTTTACAGTATAGACTCCAATTCATCGATGTATGATAAAGGAAAGAAAAACGAAACTCACTTCTCCCCATCGCAACTTCTTCGCCAATCTTCCTTCTACCCCGAGCGTTTTGAGGAAATGCCGAATTAGGGCTAGGGTTGGAAAGACAATACTTCGTCTCAATTATAAAAGACTTGACGGGCTGACTAGTGCGGAAAAACGTCTCAATTACCAAAGAACCCCTGTCTTTCTAGATTTCCAAAGACATAACAATTTAATTTAAGAGTATGTTTGGTTTAAGGAATGTGAGATTGCCATGTGAATGTCAAATTATTGAGTATGTTAGATTGATGGGAATGTATGCATTTGTATCTTATTTGTGTTTGGTTAAGATTCAGAGAATGTGATATTAATTTGTTTGGTTGAATGATACTCCCTCCGTCCCAAAATTAACTTCTCGTTCGGTTTACGATGCTTGACTGACGATAAAGCAACTCGATCCCTGCTCACACTCGGATTATTTTTAGTAAATAAAATTTACATATTCAGAAACTACATTAAAACCGCTACAAAGCCTGATCAATAAAATTTAAATTTGATAAAAATTTGATATAAAAAGTAAAAGATTACGAGTGATTCAAGTTGACCAATGAATAGTGAATGGGAAGTTGTTTTTGGGACGGAGGAAGTATCATATATTGCAGACTTGATGAATTACTTCAAAGTCCTTTAAATATTTTCTCTCAAACAATAAAGTTATTACAACCTACATTCGAAGTAATTTAAATTAAAGAAAAAATGAAATATCTCAATAATAAATAAAATAAAATAAAATAAAATAAAAACTAATTGAATATTTTTTTAAAAAAAATATGTTTATTTGCTTAAATGACAAAGTTTAGTGAGCATTATTGTTTGGGCTTTTTTCAAAAATATTACTAAGTGAAATTTTATTAAAACAAATTAATTAATAGTTACTACAATGTAGTTTTATGGTAACTTAAGTTTAGAAATAGAACGTAAGTTACTCTAATTCTATTATTACTTTAGTCACTAGTCACATTTTTGTAAACAAATCTTTACTATAGTCATGTATATGTAATTATTTCTTATTATATTGTTTAAGTAAATGCATAACGAAACACATTAAAAATAAAGGTGAATATTCCATTACATTAGCATCTGTAGCAAAAAGCAAGTTGAAAGAGATTTTCTTGATTAAATGAGTGGATATTTTTCTTGATTAAATGAGTGGGTATTTTTGGAAGAAGTCTTGTAAACAACCAGGCATCCAAGATAACCTAAGAGCTTCATGGGTTTAACATTCCTGGGTATGAGATGACATTCCTCACTTTTCGGAATGTTACATTCCCAATTTTTTTTTTGAACCTGCGAACCAAACGTGAGTATCTTAGATTCCGACCTGCATACAAGATTACCTCCAACCAAACGTGCCCTAAGATGTTTGACATTCCATTATTCGACATAAATTATTATGTATTATTATTATTAGAAGTATTTTCAAAAATATTAGGGTTTGTTTACTAACAAAGATAATGCGGGCAAAGATGAGCAGCTCGGATCCAGCCCATTTTTTTTTCTTTTTAATTCTTTACCTAGATCAACTCAAGAGTTTTGTCTATAAATTTAAGATTATTTTGAAACAATGTATGTTAGGGATTAATATTAGAAGACGGCTAATAGTTAGAATTATTTTTGTAAAATTTTATGAATCAGCCTAATGATAATACCACACATGCTTCTCCAACTTCCTATTCCACTTATTTGCATTGCTCACACATATTTCCTAAATTTTTATGTTTAATTACAATTTTCTCTTAGCAAAATTTTTAAAAATATTCAAGTTTTTTTTTGGAAGAATAAAAATATTCAAGTTTTGAATATTAAAATTGGAGGATTCAAAAATAGCTCTATAAAAATTAAAACTTTAATATATTAATAAATAACATGTAATCAAAGTAGAGCATGTGGCTAACAGCTAATCTATAAATAATGTTAGTTATTGATATCAAAATTGATATTTTTTATTATCTTTCATATGACACTATTGCATATGTAAAAATAAAAAGAATTTTGAACATAGGATGGATGGAAGTTCTTAGGCTCAAAGCTTCTACTAGGGGTGGACTCCGGCCGGGCGGCCCAAACCGGAACCGGCCTGGCCCGGTCACTGTTTGAACCGGCCCGGCCCGGCCCGGCCCATGGGCGGTTCGAGTCGAACCGGCCCGGTGGCTACTGGTTCCGGGCTCGGGCCTTCATTTTGGTGAACCAGCCCAGCCGGTTCGGGCCGTATTTAATTTTTTTTTTTGAATTTTTTTTAAGTTTTTGGGTTGGATTGGGTATTTTGGGCCATTTGAGGTGGTTTGGAGTTGAGGGGGAGGGTATGGGGTTGATTAGGAAAACCCAAAAAAAAAAATATAGGCCCGAACCGGGCCCGCCCCGGCCCGAACCGGACCCGGGGTTACCCTGACCGGTTCCGGACCTCCCCTACCTTGAACCGAGGCCCGGCCGGTTCAAGGTCCGAACCGGGCCCGGCCCAGAACCGGTCCATCCCTAGGCTAAATATGAAGGTGCTAGCACCTTCATATTGATTGGATAAAAATAGGCATTGACAAAATATGAAATTTAATGGACAAAAATAGGCGTTGAGAATTTCATATTTATCTATGTAAAAATAGATTAATTTGAATTGGATGCAACAGAAAGTTATAAATAATTTGTTCTTTTCATTGGAAAACATAGATCGGAAACATGTTTAAAGTTAGTTCAAATATCAATCATACTCAATAAATTAGAATACGCCTTTAAACCATTGTTATAATCGACTAGGAGCCCATTTGGTGGTACCAAAATCAGTTGTATCGGCTGATTCTGCTGATTTATGAAAAATTACATCTAAAATACTTTATTAATAAAATAAAGAAAAAAATATGTGAAAATTAGCTAAAATGGTCTTCTACAATAACTTCACCAATACAACCAGAAATGTAATTCCAACCTTACTTTTTTTATTACTCTGTATTACACAATTCAGCGTGCGAAATCAAAACTTACGTGTTCGATCAGTGAAAAAAACGGGATATAAATAAGTGATTTTCTGTTAGTAAAACTAAAACGCAAAATCATTTTATCCCGTGCACGGGACGAGTAAAGATACTAGTTCAGTACATTGCAATTATTTAACAACAAACCCAACATATGAAAATTTGAAAAAAAAAACAGGCGGCAAAAACTTGACATCTTTTTAAAACAAGGATCTTTCAAACAATATCATTAAGAACATTATTTGGAGCATCCGAGCATAGTCCAGACCTCCAGTCAGCCATATTTGATATTTCCCCAAAACGAATTCTTTTAAGGTGCTTGCTTCTACAAATATTTGAGCCCAACAGAGGAGACGGTGACTGCACGCAATTAGGAATGAAATGGCAGATGACAAATGTTTCCTGAAGGGGCAGGAGAGCAGTATTTGAATGTGAGTGCAATAAGCTCACTTAAGCTGACCAACAACATGTATCACAAATTACTCTAAACATTGTTGTTGGCAGCATTCCCCCAAAAGTAAGAGTCTTATGACTTTCAGTAACATAATTGTAAGAAACCAAAGCTCCTTGCCCACGTGCATTGTAAGCTAGCAAGATTTCCTTGTTGTTAAGAAGACATAGAATCTGTAACGATTCCTCGCCACGTCTTCTCCAATTGCGGTCAAAATTAAGAAATTCGCTTCCAAAAACATATTGCTTCACCCAAGACGATTCCATTCCGTATGTTTTCATCACCCAAATATGCATCCTTGAATCAAATCTTCTTATGCCAATAGAAAGACACCCCCCTAAAACAACAAGTTGAGATCCCTTACTTCTTCGAAATATAAGCTGTGCAGGCATGGGAACCTCCTCGACAGAATAATCCATGAAGTCAATCGAAGTTATATTAGGACAACGACTCAATTTCCATCCGTTTTGCACAGTCAGCCAGTGGAGTCTCCCATTGACCATGACTCCTTGATTTCCTGCCCGATCTACTTTAAAAGGAAACTCTCCTAACCTTGTCCACTCATTTTTACTCACACTGTATACATCAGCTATTGACCGAAATTCGGCCAAACCTAAAATAGTGTGCATAGCAAATACTTTGTACTCTTCAGTAACTGGGTGGCATGCAGCCCAATAGGAATAAGATATCACGTAATATTGAATGTCCAGCTCGGGTACAAATTTATAGTCCTTTGTGAAAGGATTATATAGGCATTGCCACTTCCAATGATCTTGTAAGAACATGGTGCCATTGGATGAGCTCAGCATCGAAAATGATCTTGGTGTGAGATCGGCAAATGCATTTTCAATTTTACTAGCAATCAACCCTTTCTCAATATCAGAAAATTCGACAAAGTGGAGTTCGCGTTCACGTATTGAGTAGAGATAGAGGAGTTTAGACCCTGTACTACTATTCCTAGAGAAGTACATACGAAAAACATGGGGATCATGAGACCACAGATCCAAGGAACGACAAACATACCTCACCTGGAAAATAGATTTGACATTGGGAAGCCTCGAAAGAATGTCCTTGGCGATTTCTGGCGGCAAGTGACCAAATATATTATTGGGCTCATCTTCAGCTACTTCTTTCTTCTCCTTTAAGAGGAGGCAATTACTTCTCTTCTTTGGTTTTGGGAGATCCATTGCTGTAGAATTCTAGATTAGCGACTGAGATGGCTTTTAAACCAAAGATGCATATCAACCTCCTATTTAGGTTAAATTCATTTATGTCACTCTTTTTCCCCTGAACTGTCCATGAGTCTCTTTTTTGCCCCAAAGAATTATGAGTAATTGCCTTCACCTACGTGAAGGAATCTATCATTCTATTTGCCATTTTTTGATAAAAGAAATACAATAAATTCATCACTAACTAAAACGAGCAAATAATGGAGAGCCACCCAGGAATGGTAAAGCAATGGAGCATCTTCATATTATGAATTACCAATTACTCATTACTTATTACTAATTAATAAAAAAGAAAAACCGTCACATTCTACTAAAGTACCTCCTTAGCAAACGAACATAACAATAAAAAGAATCAAAGGCAAAAACGGAGAGATTGTAACAGACACTTCTATAGGAACACTTCCAAATTCCAATAACATAGAATCAGGATGAGGGATTCAAAAAACTTCATGCGCAACAGACATATTAGAAGCCGGCAATATCTTACCTCTATATTAGTGGGGGGGAAATTGAAGAACAAAATTACGAGTAGCAATGCACAGATGCCATAGTTATGTCTATACTTTCCTAATAAATCCAGGATAAAATACCAAAGAGAAAGATAACTAACCCAGGAAATTTGGTGGGACTGGAATCCAAAAATACAGAGACCTCAATGCTCTCGCCAAAACGAGAAGAAATGCTGAATTAGGGCTAGGGCTGGAAGTATAATACAATTACTCAGAAATTGTTTATAAATGAATTACTTGGGCGGGAAAAATTTAGTTTTCTGTTTTCTGTATGATATTGTATCATACTGAATCATTTTTAAAAAAATGAACTACTATAGCATGTCAAGATGATTAGATTGAGTGTGTTTTTTAAATAAATGTTTTTATTGATTTTGTTTTTGAAAATATAAATGTTTTTATTGAAACCATTACTTTTTGGGAAAACTGTCAAATAGGTCCTCGAACTTTCATAAAAAGGTCAATTAAGTCTTTCTATAGGAGGTTCTGTCCGGCCGTCGCGATTTGGGACAGTTCCCGGTGGAAATTTTTGATGAATTTTTTTTAGCATATTATTCACCAAGTCTAGTTTACTCATACCAAATTTCAGCTAAAAATTCAATCGGGAACACATTCAAATTAATTCTTGAAGATAACTGCGCATTTTTGCGTTCTCGAATTAATTTGAATGCGCTCCCGATTAAATTTTTAGTTGAAATTTGGTATGAGTAAACTAGACTTGATGAATAAAATGCTCAACAATTTTCATCAAAAAATTCCACCGGGAACCGCCACAAATCGCAATGACCGGACAGAGTCTCCTATAGAAGGACTTAATTGACTTTTTTTATGAAAGTTCGAGGACCTATTTGACAGTTTTCCCTTACTTTTTTCGTAATGAGACTCACCTCACATGTTTGAAATAGTTGGAGAATCTATTTTCACATTTTCTCACAAATTTACATTCAAGTTAGTTTAAAAATGACATAACACACTTTCATATATTTGCACTCCTGTTTTGTCATTTTACTTGGGCAATTTGCCACAAAAATGCAATTCATATAAATGTACAAGCACTCTATTATTTACTCACTATAAATAATTTAACTTCAATCAATATATATATACCTTTGAATATGGAATTTTTTTTTAACAAAATCATTGGTTGCACGGCTGATTATTAGCAAAACATTTTACTGGGCAGAAAGATTGTAACAGATGATGTAATCCCCCCGAGCATTCATCAAGACATTAATATACTCCCCCCCCCTATAATTGTCCAACTTTTCCATTTTGGGATGTCCCCATATTATTGTCTCATATCATATTTGGTAATATTTGTATGACTCTAATTCATTCTTACTTTATTCTCACTTTATCAACTCATTATTAAGTAATATCAACTACATAATTCTACTTTTCTTAAAAACAACGTTACTTTCTTCGATCCCAATAATCCAATATTAATGGGGGTGGAGGCCCTGGAGGGAGTATTAATGAAAGGTTTCAATTTCAAATGCGATGATACCAAAACATAACTTAATTATGTCAAAGACCAACGTTGTCACATGTTGAGTTGTTATTAAAACCTTATTTTTCGTCTTGTCAACTTTACGTAATTGTGTCAAGAGTACATATTTACGTAATTAAATTTTTGGCCATTTATTTGGGATTATTCATTGATCGTGCATCGCATGGGTGTTCTACTAGTCCTATTAGAAAAAAATCAAATTTTGAATTCATAAAATGAAGGGTTCAAAAATGGTTTTATAAAAATCAAATTTCTAATACAGTAATAAATAACATGTAATCAAAGTGGAACATGCCACTAGCATCTATTTTGATAAAGTTTAAATATGGTTTTAGTCCCTACAAATATGACACACTTTGTTTCAAGCCCCTGCAAAATATTTTCTTTGTTTTTCATCCCTGTAATATGCGCCCTTTTGGTTTTAGTATATCACTAACTCCGAAAACAACTCTACTTAATTTTTTTATTGTTGATAACATAAATCTACTAGAAACATTTAAATTTATCATTTAATAATTTTTTTGAGGCTAATTTGAGAGTTAAAACAATATTAAAACTAATTATTCGCATTTTTAAAATATGTATTAAAAACCTTATTAAAATGAAATTAAATACTTTTTGAATCGCATGACAAAGAATTAAAGGATACCTATTAGTTAGGATTGTTTCATTGTCAAATGGAGGTTGTTATCATTAGTCATGGACTAAAAAGAAAATCAACATAAATTTCAGGGATGAGCGACAATGAAAATATTTTGTAGGGATCTAAAACAAAGTGTGTCATATTTGCAGGGACTAAAAACATATTTAAACCTTTAATAAATTGCAATTATTTAAGAACAAGGAAAATATCATTTGGACAAGTTAGTTGTACACACCGTCTAGCTGCCTCTGTACACGTGCAGCTAGGAAGTGTGTACATCAAGTGTACAAATAATGTCTACAAATAGGAGCACTCTAAGAACAAACCTAGTATAAGTTTTACGTAGTATAAAAATTTGAAAATAACATACAACAAAAATTTGACATCTTATTAAAACAAGGATCTTTCACACAATATCATTAAGAACATTATTTGGGGCATAGTACGGCCAGCCATACTTGATATTTCCCAAAATGAATTCTTTTAAGCTGCTTGCTTCTACAAATATTTATGCTAAAAGTAGAAGGTAGTAACTGCTACACAATTCGGAATGAAAGGCAGATGACAAATGTTTCTTTTTAAGGAGCAGGAGCAGTGTGTGAATGTGAGTGCGATATGCTAACTTACGTTGACCAGCAGCATGTATCACATATTGCTTTAACCATTGTTGTTGACGGCCTTCCCCCAAAAGTGAGAGTCTTATAGCTTTTAGTAACAAAATTGTATGAAATCAAAGTTCCATCCCCAAATCTATTGTAAGCCAGCAAGATTTCCTCATTGTTAAGAACGCATACAATCTGTAACATTTCATCGCCACGACTCCTCCAATTGCGATCAAATTTAAGAAATTCGCTTCCAAAGACATACTGCTTCACCCAAGACGATTCCATTCCGTATGTTTTCATCACCCAAATATGCATTCTTGAATCAATTCTTCTTACACCAATAGAAAGACATCCCCATAAAACAACAAGTTGAGATCTCTTACTTTTTCGAAATATAACCTCCGCAGGCATGGGAACCTCCTTGACGGAATAATCCGCGAAGTCAATCGATGTTATATTAGGAAAAGGACTCAATATCCCATTGTTTTGAACAGTCAGCCAGTGCAGTCTCCCATTGACCAAGCCTCCTTCATTTCCCGACCGACGTACTTCAAACGGAAACTCTCCTATCCTTGTCCACTCATTTTTACTCACACTGTATACAGAGGCTATTGATCTACACTCCAAATCGAAAGTGGTGTGTATAGCAAATACTTTGTACTCTTCAGTGACTGGGTGGTATGCAGCCCAATATGAATAAGACATCGACTCATATTCAGTGTCCAGCTCGGGTACAAGTTTATAGTCCCTTGTAAAAGGATTATATAGGCATTTCCACTTCGAATTATGTAGATCTTCTAAGAACATGATGCCATTGCATGAGCCCAGCACCGAAAATGATTTTGGTGTGAGATCAACAAATGCATTTTTAATTTTACTTGCAATCAACCCTTTTTCATTAATATCAGAGAATTCAACAAAGTGGAGTTCGCCTTCAGGTATTGAGTAGAAATAGATGAGTTTAGACCCTGTACTACTACTCCTAGAGAAATGCATACGGAAAACATGGGGATCATGAGACCAGAGTTCCCATAAATGACAAACAGACCTCACCTGAAAAACAGATTTGACACTGGGAAGCCTTGAAAGAATGTCCTTGACGATTTCTGGCGGCAAACAACCAAATCTGTTTTTGGGCTCATCTTCAGCTACTTCTTTCTTCTGCTTTAAGAGGAGGAAGTTACTTCTCTTCTTTGGATTTCGGAGATCCATGGCTGTAGAATTCTAGATTAGCGACTGAGATGGCTTTTAAACCAAAGATGCATATCAACCTCCTACTTCGTTTAATTTCATTTATGCCACTCTTTTTCCTCTGAACTGTCCACGAGTCACTTTTTTGACCGGAAAAATTATAAATATTTGCCTTCACCTACGTGAAGGAATCTATCTGCCATTTTTTGAAGGAGAGAAATACATTAAATTCACTGAAAGAAACAGGGATGGTAAGGCAATGGAGCATCTTCATGTTATGAATTACTATTTACTAATCAAAATATTAAAAAAAAAATACAATCGCATTATATGACTAAAGTACTTATTTAGCAAACGAACAATCCTACTATAAAAAGAATCAAAGGCAAAAACAGTGAACTTGAAACAGACACTTCAATAGAAACACTTCCAATACCATAGAACAGTTCAAAAAACTTCATGCGCAAGTATATTAGAAGCGGGCAATCTGGTAACTCTAATATATTAGTGGGAAAATTTTGAAGAACAAAATTATGACTCGCAATACACGGATGCCATAGTTATGTCTATACTTTCCTAATAAATCCAGGACAAAATATCACAGGAAAGCAAAAAAAAACTAACCCAGAAAATGTGGTGGGACTGGAATCCAAAAACACAGAGACCTCAATGCTTTCGCGAAAACGAGAAGAAATGCTGAATTAGGGCTACGGCTGGAAGTATTATACTCAGTCCGAATACAAAAACACTAATTTCTTTTTTTGATGTCCCAATATAATAAAAGACATATTTCCTTTTTGTCAAATAAAATAGTGCAAAAGAGCGTCAAATAGTTTCAAATAGTGTTTCTCCTAAAAATGTTTGAAAGCGGAAATGTGCTCTTTATATTGGGACGTAGGGAGTACTTATTATACTTCCTCCTCGTTACTTATTATCTTCACGAATACATGTGCACACAAATTAAGATAGTTGGAAATGTGTGGTGGAGAGTTGTGCAGAGGAGAGAGAAATTTGTAAAAATGATTGTGAACCACAAATTCTTTGTCAAAAAGGGAAAAAGAAGATAAATTTGGGACAGACAAAAAAATAAAGTATGAACACAATTCTGGGACGGAGGGAGTATAAAATAATAAAGTTAAAACTTGGGACAAGTTTACTTCACGGTAGGGATGGACTCGGGCCGGGCGGCCCGGCCCGGAACCGGCCCGGCCCGGTTACTGTTTGAACCGGCCCGGGAACCGGTCCGGGGGTGGTTCGGGTTGGCCCGGCCCGGTTACTGTGCTGTTCGGGCCCGGGCCCTAGGATTGGCGAACCGGCCGGTTCGGGCCAATTTTTTTTTTTTTTTTGAATTTTTTTTTAAGTTTTTGGGTTGGGCTGGGTATTTTGGGCCATTTGAGGTGGTTTGGGGTGGTTTGGGGGGTGAGGGGGGAGGGTAAGGGGTTAATTAGGAAAATCCAAAAAAAAAATAGAACCGAGGCCCGGCCCGGCCCGGAACCGGGATTACCCGGGCCGGTTCCGGGCCTCCCATTCCTGAACCTAGGCCCGGCCGGGCCCAGGCCTGAACCGGGCCCGAACCGGAACCGGTCCACCAATACTTCACGGGTATTGTTGTTTCCAATAGAATAGAATATTACCCCCAACAGAACTCTAACTATATCAATGTTGATGGTCATTTTGTGGTTCAAATACTAATACATTATGCAAATATAGCATGGATCTTTGAACTGAGACTAACAAAAAAGGTTGGACATCCATTTAGGACAAGGATCTTTGAAAATTAACATTAAGATTACTGCATCGATCATAAGTCTACAATTAAGTGAGTCATACAGAGTATCTTATAATCCTGGTTCTATTACTCTATAAAAGAACAGACTTGTCAGCAAGGTAGTTACTCGAGATCCTACGTAGGAATCCTACGGTAGGATCGAAAGTTGAACTAAGGATCGTAAATCGTAGGATCCTGACTCGGATAGTAAGATCCTACAAAATATATGTATACTTAGATATACATATATAGATATAGATATATATATATATGTATATATATATATATGTGTGTGTAATATAGTTAGAATGTAAATACTAATATAATTGATATAATAAGCATAGTAAGTTGTTTAGAACATAATATCAAATCTATAGATAATACAATTCAAGGTTACAATTAGGGAAAGTGTTGCCACATGTCAACTCCACAATTATTATTGTTTAAACATTACTTTCCAAATTAAAGAAATCTATGCACAACTAATACACCGAATCACTAATACTCGGTATTATTGATAGTTGAATACTTCTCAAATTCCTATTATTTAGGATCCTACCAATATACAATCTCATGTTTATTTTAAAATGTTATAACTTTTTCATTTGTAATCTGATTGTTCCAAAAATTACATCAAATTTCACAACTTTTTATTAGCTTTCAAATGACACCAATATTCAATATACAAAAATAAAAAAATTAATTTACACCTTTTTTTTTAAAGTGATATAAATTTTTTTATTTGTACTCCGATTGTTACAAAAAATACATCAAAAGTCATCACTTTTTAAATGGCCCGGCCAACTTAGAAAAATTATGATTGCGGTTATTTCTTTCTCCAGTCCTCTTGACAAATCTCAATTACACGGTTGTTACATAATTATTATCTATGCCAGTTAACTTGGAAAATTTTTAATGGATAGAGGGAGCAATTTTTAAATACTTCGAATCAATTAAAATCATTAGTTTTGGTTGTTATTTTAGCTCAAATAACATTCAATTACCGTTTAGAATACTCCTTATTTCCATATTTCCCACATAATAGGCATTGAGCAATTTCCTTTTTTTAGATAAAGATGGTTGACAAGACGAAGTTCATTTGGAAGCAATCAAGACTTATGGAAAAAATTGGCTCTTTTAATAAAAAAAATGGGCTGAGAACATGTTTAGATGTTTAGTTAAAAAATAAGACATTCTAGATAAATAAGAATATGTAGTATTATCAACCAATGTTATAATCGAGTAAATGAGTGACTTTCCATCCACTTATAATTACTCATACATATGTTAGTGCGCACACTCGCATATATACAGTATAACATTTACTTTCATAAAAAAGTAATTACATTTACTTTTAATTCTAATTTTCTATTTTAAATTATACAATCACCCCATAAATTTACATTTTTGAAAGAAATAATACATGACAATGGTGCGAAAATAACTTTTTATATAAAGTTTGGGGTATTTAAATTACATATGCAAGTTTGGAGTGCTTACCTCACACCCCTTCAAAGTTCGGATTGTTTTTATTATTTTTCCCTAAAAAATAAGACTCAGTGTGTTACAATTTGCAAAATATACATTTGTCTTAGGGCCTGTTTGGTTTAGAGTAATCTCACATGCAGGCCCGAAATGTTATGCATAAGATGTTAGATGTTCATGTTTGGTTCGCGGGGTTTTTAAAAATTCGGGAAAGTTACATTCCTGGGCGTGATATGGAGGGCAATGTTAAACTCATACATGCCTTGAATTATCTGACATTCTTGGGGATGACCTAATTCTTTTCCAAAATTACTCTCAATTAATTACTACCTCCGTCCCAAATTGTTTTGTAAAATCGTCGTTTTTTTGTCAACTAATGTTACGGTTAAATCCTCCCTGTCGGTAATTAATTCAATTTTAAGAATAAAAATTCACATATTAGAAACTACATCAAAATCTCTCTAAAGTTATAAAATCTCAATTAAAATTTAATTAAGAATTAAAATCCTAATTAAGTGAATAAAATAAATCTGTTTGACTCAAAAAGTCAATTTAGTAACTCAATTTAGGATATAGGGAGTATTTCTTTTCATTTAATTTCTTTTTGACTCTTCCATCTTCAATTGAGCCGGGGATAAACTGTTTACCATGTTTTCTCATCATGTTATGACAATATACTTTTAGTACTACATATGTCCCACTTAAAGGTTCTCGCTCATTATTCTCCAGTTAACGTAAATGTTTTTAATCTTTTACTTTATATATTCAACTTTTATGATAATAAATTGTATTTTTTAATCTGATTTTTGCATACGCAATAGACAATTGAACTTTTTTTAAATTGTATTTTTTAATGATAATAAATATTTGTAGATTACTCTTTGAACAAAGGTTTTCTCATTTCAATATTGGATCTACAATTTTTTACAACTAAACATCGTTTACTGAAAAATAATCCATTTAGTATAAATTTTATTTATTATTAAGATATTTCATTTTTTATTTTAATTAAAATTACTTTAGATGTTGGTTGTAATAGATTTATTGTATTAAGAGAAAATATTTGCAAGGCATTGAAGTAAAATCATTTTATGTTTCGATTATCACCTACCACTTGACGTGATAATCCTTTTATAGATTTAACTAAGCCGACCTTTTAGGGAAAAAATGTCTATTAAAGCATGCAACCTCTTCGTTCAATAAGACTCATTTTGAGTCAATCTAATGAAAAATAGATCAATCTCTAAAATCGTGTTATGCAGTCGGTCTGTTGTCACTGCCATCATCTTCATAAAATCAGAATGTTACAAAATTATACATGGTTTATTCTAAACTCTTTTATCAAAGGAGATCGGACTAATTTTTTCAATCCTAAATAATAGAAAGGCTAATAACTTAAAAAATTGACCATACCCATTATTAAATTATAAATTATAAAAATGTGTAGTTATTAGTTTTGAAAAAAATAGTAAGCTACAGATGAAATCAAATGGATAAAAATAGGGAATGAACAATTTCTTTTCTTTATTTAGATAAAGATGCTTGAAAAGATGATGTTCATTTGGATGCAACCAAGAGTTGTAAAAAAATTGGTTCTTTTGATTGGAAAATATTGACTGAGAACATGCTTAAATTTTTTGTTGAAGAAAGACATACTCAATAAATAAGAATATGCATTATTAACCGATGTTATAATTGGCTAAATATGTGACCTTCCATTACTTATGATTACACACATATATATCTGTGTGCGCGCACACACATGTAGTATAAGAAGAAAAATTCGGTCTATCCCGTGCACGGCACGGGTAGAGATACTAGTATTTAGGTATTTAAGACTTAAAAACAAATACGGTTACCGTATTTAGGTATTCAAGACTTAAAAACCAAACACTCCAGTCTAGCTGGTTGCGAGGTTACCGTGCCTAGTAGGAGGTCTCGAGTTCGAATCCCGCTAGGCACACAAGGGTTTGAAACACAATGGAGTGAGTTTCAGCCCTGATTACTCCAGGCTCCCCCCAGACCCCCTCCCCTAGACCCCCTGGAGTAAAAAAAAAAGAAAAAAAAAACAAATACGGTTCTAACTCCTAACTAAATAATTAAAATGTACCCATAGTATTATAATATATAACGCCTAACATATATAATAACAATAATTTAAAGTAATCTATTTCTAATAAAAACATATGATGCGTAATTACTTAGTGACAAAGATAAAATTAAATGCTAATACATAAATTGAACTATTAAGATAATACTACATATTATTCACGGAAGTTACCGACTTCACAAAGGACCAAACAACAGTGAAAAAAACAGAGTGCGCAAGGAAATCGAACTCTGGAAGTCGAGCTTTGAGTCTTCGACGCAGTGATGGGGGTCGAAAGACCAGTCGGACCTAAGAATGGAAGTCGTCATACACTTGGCGCCGGAAGATTTGAGTCACAGAGAAGAATCGCCATCCATGTACGCTTCTACGCGTTTACGAGTTTACTCATGCGATTTATCTGATCCTGGATATTTTACGATTCTCAGTGGGAACGGGATCGGAGTAGGGGTGGATTCGGGCCAGGTGGCCTAACCCGGAACCGGTCTGGCCCGCCACTGTTCCGGCACAACACGGTCATGGACTGGTCCGGGTAGGCCCGACCCGAGGTGGTTCCGGTCCGGGCTCGGGCCCCTAAAAACATGAACCGGCCCAGCCGGTTCAAGCCCAGTTCAAACCATTTTATTTTATTTTATTTTTTGATTTTTTTTAAAGTTTTTGGATTGGGCTGAGTATTTTAGGCCGTTTGAGGTGGTTTGAAGTGATTTGGGTGTGGGAGGTTGGGGGTTAATTAGGAAAAGGCAAAAAAAAAATACCTGAGGCCCAGCCCAACCCGACCCGGGGGTGACACGGGCCGGTTCCGGGCCCTCCAATCCAGGACCGGAGGCCCGACCGAGCCTAGGCCCGGGCCCGGCCCAGGCCCGAACTGAGTCCATGCCTAGATCGGAGGGTTATACTCAGATCGTATAATTGTACAATTCTTCGAGTAAACTGGCGATCTTGACTACCATGCCTGTCAGATTCCAAACTTGTGGCCTTGTGGGGCCATATTGTATTGTAGTCGTTTAACACTCTGAAGGCAGAATCATTTGCTAGTCACCCAGAAAACTGTTACAGCCATGGCTGCGGGGGAATGAAACAACGGGACAAAAGTATGTCATAATTATACATCCTATAAGGCTACAACTATTGGGGAAAAAATTAATTTAAGATCACATCACTGGATAGTAGACCGTTATGCAGGTGCCCTAATTGTGGATGGCAACAAGCTGGTCAAGAAACAGCCACAGTCTTACTACCCTAATTGCAGGCAAGCATTCAGATAATCATTCATAAAGTGTCCTATTGAAGAAAGTTACGAGTATATTTAGATCAAGAAATTCAAAAACAGAGATAATAATTGTCATCACTGATAAGTAAAAGACGCACAACGGCGTCACATGCTACACCAAAAACAGGAAGAATGTAAAAGGGCATGAAGTGCTCTGCCTCAGCAACTTAGAAAAGCGAAGTTCCTTTTCCTTTCTTATCCCCACCAATCTCAAAATGCTTGCACCGCTGCATTGCAACCAGAGCACCAGTATGTCAACTAAAAATTGGACAAATTATGGGTCTTTTAAAAGCTAAAGCATCGGCGGTGTTAAAAACAGACCTTGATTGCATGTTGGGAAACATGCTTGCATCCCTGACATTGAAGTCTCAACACAATCTTCTTTGTAGTCTTAGCCTGGTTAGACAAACAGAAAGGTACCACACCAGTAAAAATAAGGACTTTTGGAAATACAACAGATTATAAATGAGAAGTGTACCTTCTTGTGGAAGACGGGCTTGGTTTGTCCACCATAACCTGATTGTTTACGATCATAGCGACGCTTTCCTTGAGCAGCAAGGCTGTCCTTACCCTTCTTGTATTGAGTGACCTTGTGCAGTGTGTGCTTCTTGCACTCCTTTGACTTGCAGAAGGTCTTCTTAGTCTTTGGAACATTCACCTGGGAGAGAAAGATAAGAAAAAATATGATTTTACATAAATAATATGATGAATACACTTCATCCAAGAAAAAAGGAGTTTTATTTTTTACCAACGTTATTACTACCTTTTGGTGTTTGGTCAACTAAATGTAGGTACAAACTTTTACATCTTATGGCAAAACAGGATCATTCTACTAGCAAAATGATCAGTTTATACACTTACGAAATGAAAGGGAAGCAAATTATACACCAGATATGCAAGAATCATAAAGAGCTATTTTAATTATAAAAAATGCCATCAGAACAGTAACTGACTGCAGCAGTATTCTCAAAAATCAAAACAAACCATTTTTGAATGGTACTCCCTCCGCCCCTACATTATTTTCCGAAGTACATTTGATACAGGGATTAAAAGAGTGGGTATTGTGTTGTAGAGAGTTGTGCAAAGGAGAGACAATGTGTAAGAAATGCCGTGAACCACAAATTCTTTGCCAAAAGGGAAATAGGAGATTATTTTGGGACGGAAGAAAAAGGAAATTTGGAAGATAATTGAGGGACGAAGGGAGTACTATTTATCATTTATAACTACTTGAGAGCCTTAAATCACATTAACATTGTAGAAACAGAAAGTATACTATGTTTTCACATTGTAAGCTTCATGCGACAGTAAATGGTAAATTTAGATATCCCATTTAAAACACAACCACAATCCTACCACAAGATTATAAATATCATTTATAACTACTTGAGAGCCTTAGACCACATTAACATTGTGGTATGCTTTTATCATTTTTCAATAGGTTAACAGGTTAGATGAATTACTTTATAACCTGTTATTTCAATTATTTGATTAACATAATAACATATTAAAAAGGATTATATGATTGAAAACACTATGTCAATTATTTCATTAATTTTAGTCAATTAAAGTATGTATTACTACACAATCCACTCCTAAAAGGGCACAAACGACTTTGGATGTATTTTAAGCTTACTACAAGTACAGAAATCAGCCAAGAGTTAAATGTCTTGATTGATACTCCTAATACTTCATCCGTTCATGCTGATCGTATATGCATCTTTATTGAAAAAGAATTTACCAACAAAATTGATGTTGGGGATGTTGGGTTGGTCATCAATGAGCGCGAAGATCAAAGAAGGTTGTATTCAGCTAACATTTTAGTTTCACACGTAGTATATTGTATGTACTGCCTAAATAAATTGATATAGATTTTATAGGTTTTTGCTAAAATTTTACTAATAAACTGTAACATTTTTGTCTATTACTGTTATTTCGATCATGTGTTAGGAATATTAGGAATGGTTTCTAAAATTTAATGTATTTTAGTCTTTATGTTTGAGTTCTTTACTCGTTCACATACAAAGTACGGAGTATATTTTTAGTTCATAACCAGGGGGCACTAAACTTCCATCATGGCTACGCCCTTGGTCCTAAATGATCTAACAAAGCTGAAAAAATGTAAAAGAATCATCAAATAATTAATACAAAAAATGAGGTCTGGCACTATTTGTTCCGTATAAATACATTTAGTTTCAAATATTAAGACTACATTGAAAAAATGAGTTGAGGGAAACCAGTTATGTTTCATTTGAAACATTGATGAAAAAGCCAGAGTTGACTACCCATTCTGGCTAATACATGAAACCCAAAACTACACATCTAGACCTTACCAATTTACCAACACATAATTTTAACTGCATGAACGAACTAGGAAAACATTATCATTAGAAACTCAGCGGCATATTCAAAACAAAAGATGTACCACCGTTCATTAAGCATGCCAAAAAAACAAAAAACAAACATATCTGCCTGATTATAAACCAAGATCAGTCTAAATCACAGAAAATCTAGCATTAGATATAGGGAGCTTACCATGGTTGAATGTGGATAGCTGAATATGCTATGCTGCTCTACACCCAATAAACAAGTCCATGAAAAGAATTGGGATTAGAACAGTTATAAATCCATCTGTATATACACAATGTAAATTCCTTTTGTGATTTCTAAAGTACTAGTGATGCTCATAATTTTCTTTAATTTCTAGTCTACTGTTGTTTCCAAATACCAAAATTGAAACTTTTAGAAATTCCCACGCTGTCACTGAATAAATTGAACTAAGCTCAACTTTCGCAATAGCAGCCAAGCAATGCTACAATGAAACTTCACCCTATGCAAGAATTCTAAAAATGACAAAAAATCAAATTTCTACATGTCAAAGATATTTTTATCTATTACATAATTACAATACGGCATTGTAATGTAACAAATGCTCTTAATATTTTCAAAATACCCGCAGAAAATATTGGTTTAAAAATCACTAAAAACAGAATAAGCCAAATCAGTTGGTACCAAATACATATTTTGAAAAGCGCAAAACATCTGGAAAAGCGTGGAAGCTAAAGCAACTTGGAATGAAGATGGAGGCAGGAGCTTGGAAAATGAAATACCTTAATGAAATCAGAGCGAATTGCCGAACAGGCTTGACTGCTTGAGCGAAGGGAAGGTTTTATATTTTGTGAAAACTAAGGGATGATTTCTAGGGTTCTGTTAAATACTATTGTTGGGCTTGAGTCCAATTGTAGAATATCAAGTCATGGTCTCGTTGTTAATTTGGCCCAACACTGCTCAAGCAAACTCGGCAACTGTTTCTTGACATACAATGTTTTTATAATTTTGTTCAATTCGAAACTAAGGGAGTGTTTGTTTTGCTTAATGAGTATTTCAGAGTTTTTATTTAGCTTAAATAAGGCTAAAAGTGGTACATCCAATCAATTGCTTCATCTGTTTTAAAATTGAAGGTGATAGTAGGGGATGAGTGATTGTAATTGTTTTTCACTATATCTATTATATAAAAAGGACGGAGTGTGTTTGAACAAACACTCTACCATTTAATGTTTCATAACCACTTTTCTTTTAGTACATTAATTGTCAACTTTTGCTATTAATCATGTTTCACTGAAATAAATCACTTTTTAAAACAAAAGTGAACGCAAACACTCCTCATGTGAGTGTTTCATTTGATTAAAAAGTACGCAAATTAGAAGTGAACGCAAACACTCCTCATGTGAGTGAACGCAAACTCAAAATGATCTTGTATTTCTTATTTGGCTTGTCTCAAAATGATGGTTTTATTTTATTTTTTGATTAAAAAATTAAAATAGATCACCAAATAATTCCTAAATATTTGTACTGAAAAAATTATAGGACCACCATAAAGTGTTGATCAAGATGGCATTTGCTTTTTCATTGAGATATACGAAGTATGACATTATTGTTTGATGATGATACTCTAACTTGAGAGCAACATGGATTTACAATGCCAGCATAATGTCATAATCATGACATTCTTGTTTCTCCTACCAAGCAAGAAATATTTGGATCATTTTATCGTGTTTGTTGTTGTCTGATAAAAAGTTTTTATTAAACTTCATCATTTTCAATTTATGTGATATAAGAATATTATTCATGAGATTCCTTAGGGTAAAGGCTCTCTCCACGCAGACACGAATCGTCCGAAAAACCTATCTAATAAAGAATATTATTCATAATTATTTTGACAGTTATTATTTTTTACAATGATAGTTAGTATAAGGAATGCACTTATTTATGCTATTCATAAAAATCTTTGATAGTTTCTTATATCACATAGTGTTGTGTTTTTCAAATTAAATGTCATTAATACTATAAATATGGTGGTAATCAATTCTTTTAGCAATATAAATCATTACCATTTGTTGACACTATCGTCAAATGTTATATTGTCGCCATATTTGCAAAGGATGATAGTTTTTTACCATTTACGTTCTCATAGTAATATCACTCATAACGCATTGAAGATGGCATTTAGCATTAAATTGTGTTTTTATTCTAGTCGAAATAACACCTAACAACAAGATGACAATAGTACAAACATAATAGCGATAACAAGATGACAATAGTTAAGAATTTACAAGGTGACCGTTAGCAGTATAACAGTGATAACTATCAAATTTGTGTTGATTCATAACTACTCTTTGTAAATTCGGAATGAATTATGCTCTTATTTAGATAATTCATCCAAACTACTTTGTAATATTGATCACCGTATGTATGAATATAGAACATTTTAGTAAAAAAAATATAGATTATTGGGGAAATGGTCAAATAAGGCACTCTACTATTACAAAATCACCACATAAGATCATGTACTCAATAAAGTGTCATATACATACATCTACTTATAAAAAGCAATCAAATGAGTCAAAGTGATCCGCTGACAACCTCCTAATCCCGATTTTAGTTTACATGTCGTTATTTTTGTCTTGTATTTAAACCAACTCATACTCAATATTTCATGTCAACCTCATAATATATTTCAAAAAGATAGTCTAACGTATGCTAAAATCGGAATTACGAGGTTGTCTACATGTCGTTATGAGTTGTGAGTATGACTCATCCGATTGTTTTTTATAAGTAGATGTATTTATAAGACATGAGAACATGACCTTATGTAATGGTTTCATAATAGTAGAAGACCTTATTTGACTCTTTTATTTAGTTTATTTGAGTAAATTTATATAATGTAAATGAATGAGTGTAAACCTGTCACTAATGAAGTCTAGTAAGAGAGGTCATTGAATCAATAGAGGAAAAGGAGTAAGCTAAGAAAAAGAAGAGAAATCATGAACAAAGATCAAGTAGGCCACAGAAATAAGACCAAGAAAGAAGAGATCAGATGATATGAAAATGGGAAAAATTAACTTCATATAAGCAAATCACCGTTAAAACTTGAGGAATTGAGTACTGTGAATCCCAAAATTTGATGAACATATTGGAGCGTGTAATTAAAGAGAGGGTAGAGGTCTAGAGGAGGAAGAGTTTGGTATCATATGTATTGAGCTCGAGATAATTAACTCGGTTCTCCCAGCAAACTTAAATTTATATATAAACCAATCACACTTGAGAAAAACTTCACCGAGTAATGTACTTGCGAGTTGCTATGATGCAGGGGCGGCTTGAGCAAATGAGAGGCCCTAGGCTGAAAAATATTTAGTACACACAAATCATATTTTTTTTATCGTTAGACACAAATCATATTGGAGCTAGATGAGATAAATTGAATAAAAAAACATTATGAAAAAAAAACATATTCAAAGTGCTAGATATAATGTTTTAGTATTCAAAATGATAAGTGTTTAAATGCAATCATATATAAAATACACTATTGGCCGTCATCACAATACCTACATATTTATAGGTAATACAAAAACTACAAACAAACTAATTAACAGAAAACGTAAAACTACTAAATACAATGACAAATCAGACAAAACAACTACTTTGCTAATTCAATATAGTCAAAATAATTATATCATGTATTTATCAATTATCATCTTTTTTTCAAAAGATGTATTTATCAATTATCATCTAATACATACAATATGTCAATATAGTACATACAATATGTCAATATCAATATAGCAAATAGCAATATTAATCCAATAAGTTTTAAATAATAATTTAGGAATTAGGAATTGACCTTAAATATGAATTGAATTGTTGACCTCAATAGACTTTAAAGGCAGGAACGACAAATTGCCTTTACTGCTAGTTTATGCTTTACCACTTCCGGCCTTTAGGCTTTATCTCTAGTACTTCAGACTTTAGAGACGGCTAGAGATTAGACCAAATGTCCAATTTGATTCTATTTCACTACTTAATTAGATACTAGAGAATAAGGTTAGATGGACATAATAGAGAAGTCACACGGAAAGAGACTTACAGTTCCGATGAGAAGCCTGTTCCTGCTTGCTTGCTTTTGCTTCGTGTAATCATTGCTTTGGATTTACCAACAGCTAACAGTGAGTCGGCGACATGGATCGGAAACGCAACAGTTTTGCGGATGTGTGAAGCGATGGAGTTAAAATAACTAACTAATTGATTATTATAAAATAACCGAGTACTAATACTTACGGACTATTTTGAGGCCCCTTTGGCTTGGGAGGCCCTAGGCAGTTGCCTGGGTGAACTGCCCCCAAAGCCGGCTCTGCTATGATGAAAAGGAGTAAATGCACTCTAGTAGATTCTAGTCATCCCCTCTCCCAAAAAAAAAAAAAAGATTCTAGTCATCCCCTCAAATGAAGCTATGAGTGATCGAGCACATGCGATAGTAGGAAGGAGCTGGGAGATCTATGTGGACACTTCTCATTAGCTAGTAGTCAAAGAGATTTATATCATGTCAAATTCACCAATTGAACTATATTGACTAAAGGGTCACCCTCGAACTAACTTAAAAATGCAAATCACCCTTTATATAAGGGTTTTGTCCGACCATCGCCATTTGGAACGGCTCCCGGTAGATTTTTTTGAGCATCTTCTTCATTAAGTCTAGTTTACTCATACCAGATTTCAGTTAAACATTCAATCGGGAAGGCATTCAAATGAATTTTTGAAGATAACTGTGCAGTTAAACAGCGCATTACATTTCAGAAGATCATTAGACTGTCTTCCCGGTTGAATTTTATATGAAATTTGGTATGGGTAAACTAGACTTATTGAAGAAGATGCTCAAAAAAATTTATCAAAAAAAATCACCGGTAACCGTCCCAAATGTCGATGGCCGGACAGAACCTCCTATATAAAGGGTGATTTACACTTTTTCAGTCAGTTCAAGAGTCTATTTGACCGGCATATTCATAGTTTCCCACCAAAATGAAGTGTTGGCTAATTGAGGGACTCTATGCGGCACGGAAATAGGAACCCCTCCGAATTCATATGCTCACGTTCAAGCTCGGGGTACAAATCGTTAACCGTCATTCCTGTTTGTGAGCTCCTGGAACGTCTTGCATGCCTCACATGTTGATCTTGTTCGGCTTTGCCTTACTTAGCTGGAAGCACAACCATTAGCAAGTAGCAACCAAAAAGCACATTCGCACTAGGTGCCTTTGCCTAGTTTCGCTCTGGTGAACAGTCCCTATGGTTTAGTGGATTTGCTCCTCACCAAAGCTGTTTGATCCAAATACATAACAAATATAAGTTGAGTAGCACCAGGAGCTTTGATAAAAATATTCATACACTCTTCAATAGAAGAGATATGTTTAGAAGAAATAAAGATGGCGTGAACATAACCACAGAGGAAATGACAGCCAATTTCAATAGATTTTGTATGTTCAATGTTCATGGAAGGCTATCTAGATTTGGTATAATGCCAACGTTGTAAGAATTTCACACTAAAAGTGGAATGGAGAGAGAATGAGAACTCAAGAGAGTTAATGACTCTTCAGCCAAAACAATTCTCAGGTTACAAATGCCATGAAACGATATTATATATCAACGAAGAACGAGAGCAGCACTCAATCTTAGCAAAGAACGAGGCAATGCCAATTGTTTCTTAATTTATCATGTAATAGGAGTCTCCAAGCCAACAAAGAATGGAATGAGTGATCAAACAAAAAAAGGTCAATCCTTTTTTTGTTTGAATCATAAATACTTTTGAAAATAGCCTCATGAAAGAATCTTTATTAATATTTTTGGTTCCCTCAATCCGTGAGAATGAATTCCCTTAATGAGTAGCACATTTCTTAACTAAAGTCTATAACCATCAGCCATAACTCCATAAGACAATTGAGAACTCGCATGATTTTGAAGACCTTTGTGACCGAGGAATCTACTATACAAAGTGTCATGTAAAAAGCATTACACCCAATAAGTTTATCGCCAAACAAATTAAAACTGGGGTGTACGTGGAAAAAAACAGTAAATAAATTAAATGGCTACAAGGTTCTACAGGTCACTCCCCTATAACGGATTCTGGATTTGCTATTAGTACAACAAACTTCAATTGGTATTGAAGACAGCTCATGAAGAACATGAAAGCATGCATACACCAGGACGATAAGCCCAGGCTGGGGGCAAGCGAGCATATTTCTCCATTCCCGGTTGTTCGTTGTATGGATTCTCCATAACCTTTAGGAGTTGACGGACCTCTGTAAAATCACCTTGCTCAGCCGCATCTATGGCACTTTGGCATAAGTAGTTTCTAAGGACATACTTGGGATTTACTGAATCCATGGAGGACTTCCTTTCCTCGTCTGAAATACCTCCACTTAAGAGCTGTCCAAGTAGGTAAAAGCACAATAAGAATCAGGATATCAATAGATTAACTGAAAAGAATTAAAAAAAAAATCACATCAACTTTGTAGACGATGCACCAACTACAATTATGTTTACTTCTTTCCACCCCTAAAATATATTTCGTTTGACTAATGTTAAGAAAAGAGTAACCAAATCATGGGAGTCTCACTCAATCACTTGGATCTTCCCACCCCTAAAATAAATTACAATCAAGACACAAGTACATGTACACATCGTGTAGATGTCCAAAGCCAGACTGACAAACTCGGTCTATATACTACCTTGCCACCTCAGTATGTTTCCAGGAAAAAAACAAGGTGGAAACTGATTTTCCAGGAAAATGTTTTCCAGAAAAATGTTTTCCTCGGTGAAAAAAAACTACGAAAATAGTTTGTTCTGCATAAGAAGTACTGTTTGAGCCACAAAAATAGAAAATGCAAGTCCTTTTCCACTACATTGTAAAGAAGTGACAAAGAATCAAGAAAAGGTATTCTTTGAGAAAAATATTTTCTATTGTCAACTGCCAAACACTCCAAAGTCTTTCTATATTTTCTTCCTGTAAACCAACATTATAATTATAGGCACACAATACAGCCATGAGAGACAACCATAATGAAGCATTTTAGCCAAAACATAAATTTCAAGTATTAGTCACCCTATCTTAAATTGATCACTGAAAAAATAACACATCAGACATCATCACTGAGATTCAAGATATCGAGTCTTAATGCCATTATCAGTTTCAACCCTATCAGTTAATGCTTTCCAGCATATTAAGCATATACATAGGCTTTCTCCATAGTCACTAGCTTAAAATAACAAACATTAGGTCAATTTCAATTTATGCATGCAACTACCTCTTGTATGTACGCTTGTACCCAACTTGTCCATGCCTCTTTGCGCTCTTTACCTATATCCAACAGAACAGCCTTCAAGGGAAGCAATAACTGTTGTTCAGGGATTGCAGAATCTGCTTTAATATTAGACAGCAATCGAAAGAAATTTGTGTAATCAACTTTGTCAACAGCCATGTTTTTTAGAAGATCACTTATCAGTTGCTTATTATACTTTGGCAGACCAAGTTTCCTGGTCATGATTGCTTGATAGTCATCCATAAATTTGATACCATATCTGCCAGAAAATATAGATACGCTATTATTTGTTAATAGTAGGAAAAAATCGCATTTTAAAAATTCTTAAAAAATCATTGTTTAAACTTCAAAGCTGATCATTGACAAGCAAAGGGAAAAAAGAGTCAGATACAGAGCACCTTTCCATGACATAATTTGCCTCCTTGTTGTTTATCAACTCAGCAGCAGATAGTGATGATGTAAATTGTGCAATATTCCACAACCCTATATCAGGCTGATTAGCAAAACAGTATCTCCTCCCAGGGAGATCAGTGGTGTTTGGTGTAAAACTGGGATCAAAAGCGTCTAGGAAACCAAAAGGACCATAATCAATAGTGAGCCCCAGGATACTCATGTTATCTGTATTCATCACTCCATGGGTGAATCCAACACCCTGCCAACCTGCTATCATTGAAGCTGTACGCTCTGCAACTTCTACTGCCCATGCTGTTGTAGTCATGCAATACAAAATTAGTATAAGACTATAAGCAAGAAATATATTGCATTAGCTAACACCATGTTACCTCCCAAATGAGTAGATGCAGTGAAAAAAACAAAAGCCAATACAAATTCAGAATGAACATGACTCATCTATTAGGTAAGCGGCAATCAGATCAGACCAATACTGATAGAGAGCAGGAAGAGCATGAGGCGGAAACGGGCTTGGGCCCACTTCCGTGGGCCGGTTATGGGCTGCCATTATAGTTTTATTTATTATTATAACGTTTATCTTATGTTTTTAGTTTGGGCCTATTAGTAGTAGAGTATTAGTAGAGTTAGTATGGGCTTGATTAGGATTTAATTAATTTTGCCTTTTGGCTCTGGGCAACGGTATTTTTATCGTTGATTATCTCGGAAAACGGTTTACCCCGTTGATTTTTATTTTTCGGTTCACAATAAATACACATAAAGCATCAACATCAACAACAAAAGCTTTGATAATATCCATCGTCTTGAAAAACACCCAGCCCAAAAGGGAGAAAAGGCATAAAAAGAATCACACTTCATTCAAAAGCACCTTCTACAGTAAAGTGACACGTAATAAGAATATATGAATTCCACTCTTGCTACCTAATAGCTAAGACCATACAACCAGTTTGAAAAAACAATTGACCACGCAAGAACTTTTTACTATCATAACTGAAAGGGCTGAATCTCACACTTCACTGCTCACACAGTCACACTACATGAGTGCGGATGTTGTTGGCTACTGTTGTGGGTGATACATCAATTAACCCTTTTGCAGATTACCACTACCAAGCTTTACTGTTCAGTACCTGTGAGGCTGTGGGTGGATGATCCATACTGGATGACAAAAAACTACGTCACTAACATCCAACTGAAGTTATAAAAAACTCTTATCCCATCTTCCAACACCAGAAGAAAGATAATACAGTATAAGGTAACAGGATATTAATTAAAGCATCACATGAGAAGTTCTGTAAAAGACAACAAACATACAAATGTTTCATGACATGTCATACTTGGATATTAGTTAATCTTCCATTCAAGTATACCTTACCTGCATACTTGTTTGATGTTAGATCCACTACTGAATCATCCTCTTGACCAGTGCTGAAAGATATGCATTCACTCTTACTCATGTTTTCTAGATGCGGGAAGTGATGCCTAATGGCATAGTCGGCCAAAGTACGGACGATGTCAAGATCCGTCTTTCCTCTGGAAGCATGTAGTTGGTACGACCCAAAGCGCAAAAATGATCGAGCAACTCTGCAAACAACTGCACCCGGTTCATCCTTTGGATTGCCACTGCGTGGAAACGCAAAAAAATGTCATTATAAAACCGCAAGAAAGTCAGCTGGTTTATGAGTATGCTTCAACCCAACAGAAGGGGGTACCCCAGGAAAGTCCTGAAGACTCACTAGCAAGAGAAAGATTGAGGTTCTTCCACATGACTTCTAAAAAAAATGAAGTACAGTTGAAAAAATAGCTCTAAAATGTGACACAACACATGAAAAAAGTTAAAGGTTGCTAAATTGGGCATAACTCAGCCCAAACGGATCCTCAAACATGTGAGGTTGGACTATTGCTTGTACTTACTACTAAACTTAAACTAACTGATGTGGGATGACTCAAGCAAACCCACTCAGCCTAAGCCGGGGCTGGGTAAAAGAATGGGTGCACAAATGGGCTCAAACCAAACCCAAAATAAGCTGCCTCAAACAATCGGGCGAGTGCCCACAAAAACCACTATCGGGCCAGCTTTGCTTGAATACAATGTCAATTTTGATCTAACTCAACACAAAAAAGATCCTCCAGAAATGACTCTTGCTTATAGATCCTGGGAGGCTGGGATCAAACTAATGAGACAAGTCAGACAACCAATGTGGGATAACTAAACAAAGGTTAAAGCAATCTTCATTCAAAATTAATGCACCGGAGAGTATGGACATGATTTCATACTCATAAAACATATCACGAGTGACATATTTCCCAGTTAACACAAGGCATAGAGCACGTGTTGTTGGGATGCCTAGGCTATGCATTGCTTCACTGCACAAGAACTCTCGAATACTACTACGCAACACTGCCAGACCATCAGCAAACCGGCTATATGGTGTCTTCCCAGCACCTTTAAGCTGCAGTTCCCACCTCTCAGACTTTGAGTTGAGTACCTCTCCAAGAGTTATTGCACGACCATCACCTAATTGGCCAGCCCACATTCCAAATTGGTGCCCGCCATAGTTCTGGGCATAAGGCATCCTAAGGAGTAAATAGAGAGTTATACAATCTGCTCTAGTAAAAAATGAGTGAAAATGCTCATGATATGTGCATACATTGGTAAGAAAACTTACGATCCCACTAAAGGTGATCCCCCAGAAAAGAATAGCGGAAAATCTGGCCTCTCAAATCTGACATAGCAGAAATTGTTTCATTAGAATCCAATTTAATCCCAAAACTAAAGGCAGAAATTTTGGTAAACTAAGGAGACTCACTCTTTAGGATCCAATTCAAGAAGCTTTGCAACGGATTCTGACCATGCAACAAGTTGGGGGTTCTCCACCTCCACTGAAGGAGATACTTTAGTATAGCAAGCATGCAACACCTATAAAATATACATATAGAAACTTCAGAAAACATAAACCACATATTCGGATTCGGATGCTAGTCATGCTACTTATGTCCTAAAAATGCTACGCAATTCTTTTTTTTAGAGTAAGATGCTACGCAATTCTTAGAGGCCAAATCGAAACTTACCTGCAGCCTATTGCTAAGAAAAATATATTCCAATTCCAACTCCAAAAAAACAATAAACATAAGTATTTTTAGACAACTAATCATGCAATTATGTACATCAAGTGAGTAAGAGATGTGTAAGGAATCAAACCTCCCTGGGGATGGAATCGGCCCTAGGGTCACCCGGAAGTTCTCGAACGAAAGAATTATCCCAATTCAGCTCTTCAAGTTTGACTTTGCGAGCAGTGGTGTGATCCAAACTCAGTTTCCTTAAATCATCTGCAGCGGTGGAAGGAGACGAGTCCATTGGCGAGGAGAACAACGGGCGGCAGTGCAGTTGAAGCGGCCTGTAGGGGATTCGGCGGCGGGGATATTGAGGGGAGAAGCGCAAGTACAGGGCGGCAGCGGTGCGGGAAGAAGCAGAGGCATGAGAAAGTGAAGCCGAAATATGGGCAAGCATTTGCATTTCTAATCGATCCCTTGCGCTACGTAGCTATATGACTTTTCTTTAATTTTCCTTTTTTGCTTTTCTTTTTAAATGAAATTCATAAAATAATTCTTACATGAAAAGCCTTTTAGTAATACCAAAATCGCCTGAATCCGCTAATTCAGCTAAAATTTATGAAGTTCTTGATTAAGTGGTTAAATTGACTGATTTTACTGATTTATTAAAATATGTATTTGAAATATACTCCTATTGAGGATACGAAAACATTACATGCAAAAAACAAAAAACCTCATGTACTAAGGGTTGGTTTACAAATGCTTTTAAATAGGCATTTCTCAGCTTTTAGCTTAAAAAACATTTATTTTACCAAACACTACCAACTTTTATTTTTCTCGACTTTCGTGTCAAACATGCTTTTACTTTTTCTATTACACAAAAAGCACTTATTTTACCAAACACTGCCAACTTTTACTTTTCAAAATCATTTTTTTCTCAAACACTGTCAACTTTTATTTAATCAATTCTCCTCATTTCATTAAAAAAACACTTTTTTTAAATCAGAAGTTATTGCAAACAGACCCTAACAAAGTTTCCGGTTTAGGAGATAAAAATCATCCTCTTCTCTTCCTATTGAGGATACGATAATGTTGTCAATCAATATAGTGAATAAAAAGATACACAATCTATTACTCTTTCCGTCCCTGTATAAAAGGCACAGTTTCCTTTTTGAGTTGTCCCTATATAAAAGGCTCATTTCCCTTTTTGGCAAACAAAACAGTGCAAAATAGTGTCAAACAGTGTCCAAACAGTGTCAAATAGTGTTCCTCCTTAAGATGTGTGCAAAAATAAATGTGTCTTTTATATAGGGATGGAGGGAGTATATATTTGAGCTTAGTGATATGTCATTAGAAATTCTACTTATACATGCGATGTGTGTATATAAATAATACTCGTGTAAGATTTACTTATTTCTTTTTATCAAATTTCATCAATGTTTACTTTATGGTTCATGCCCTTTTAGTTTCAGCCTATTAGCAGAATCATGACTAATAGATATTGGATGTATTTTGCTCCGATGTCTAGCAAACAGTTTGTAAATGGAGTAGAGAGCTTTATAAAATTTGCTTTTGAAAGTTCATAGGCATGGTGGAAAAGTTTTATGCCCATGTAAAAGGTGTTATAATATGTTCTATCATACATGGGGGGAGTGTTTGATCACATAATATGTAATGGTTTTCGAAACGAATACACCGAATGGGTAGATCATGAAGGACACAGAATACTATCATCTTCATGTTCAATGCCTAATGATGAATATGGGGTAATTGGGCATGACATGAGAGAATTATTGAATAATTTGTTTAAATCAGTCCACGTAGATGGAAGTGCTTCTAACATGGAGGAGCACAGATGGAGCACCAGGTTGGGTGATTCTAGTGCATGATCCACAAAACTCTAAATCTAGAAGAGACAAGTTCAATGACCTATTAAAGGATTCTGAAAAAGTGGTGTATCCAACCTCAAAGTATAGAAAGCTTTCCTATTTGGTGCATTTGTTTCATTTGAAGTGTTTGAATGGTTGGAACAACAAATCTTTCTCAATGTTGTTATAGTTTTTAAAAGATTTACTCCCAGAACAAAACTTACTACCAAAAACAATTTATCAAGTTAAAAAATTGTTTGGAGATATAGGTTTAGGATATGAAAAGATCCATGCATGCCAAATGATTGTATGTTGTTTTGGGATGATAAGTGATGGAGTATATGGACCAGGAACCCCCGGTTCACATACTCCTACTACCTCAAACAGGCCCAATGAGCCCAGGCAACCCAAATACAGCGGCCCAAGCTCCTTGAAGCCCATACTACACAAGGACCGCCTTCAGCACCATGGCCGGAGGCCCCAAACTCAAGGACACGATTACTTTTGGTCCAACAGCACTACTGGGAAATTTGGTCTCAAGCAACAGCCTTCGGTCATGCAACCTTCGGCCCCGGTGTCGAAGGCCTCCTTTCTCGACAGAAGCTCCTCTCTACTAAAGCCCAACCACCGCATTTAATGCGGTGCCATGTGCCAGCACCCCCTCAGTTGGGGGGCTCTCCACCATAAACTAGCTTACACGTGTACGTGCATTTAATGCATCTAACATTTATGACCAGTATAAATAGCGACCCTTGGGCGGTTGTAATGGACCATTGAATATTTATTGCAACCATACTTTCCCTCTCTTACTTATTGCTCTGACTTCTCTCTATATACCACCAGCAGTATCCCGGTATAGACTATCTATCAATAAGGATACAGAAGAAGTGTGCTAGATTTGTGGAGAATCAAGATGGAAAGTTTCAACATATAATATAAGTGACATGGCAAACACCCAAAGTGAAAAGGGAGCTAAGATTTTGAGGTGGTTTCCTTTGAAACCAGGGCTCCATAGATGATTTATGTCTTCAAAAACATCCGACATTACAAAATGGCATCATAGAGAGCGCACATGATGGAAAGCTACGACATTCAGCTGATGGTGCAGCATGGAAGGACTTTGACAAAAAATTCCCCAAGTTTCCTAGTGAGCCAAGAAACATTCGTTTAGCCCTTTCAAGTGACGGTTTTAACCCTTTCAAGACAATGAATCTCAGTTACAGTATTTGGCGAGTTATTTCAATTCCATGTAATTTACCTCCATGGTTGGTTATGAAACAACCCAATCTCATTCTATGTTTAATTATCCCTGGACCGAATGTTCCAGGCAATAAGATAGATGTCTATATGCAAGTTGAAAGAGTTGTGGGAGGTTGGAGTTGAGACTTTTGACGTGAGTTGTAAAGATAACTTTCAAATGAAAGCAACTTTACCTTATAAGATTTCTCACTTTCCTAGATATGCAATGTGACACCGCTCCCGAACGTCCTTGAAAATTTGATTTAAAATTCAAAGTTTATGTATTGGATTTCTGATTCCCAAACGTTTTGTAAAACGATTAATGTTTTATGTAATTAATGATCGATTAGTGTACTGTTCGAACTCGTATATTAGTGTCGGGCATGCAAATACTATTTGGGTCTTATTAATAAATAAAAGAGCCCAACATTATCCAAATAGTGATACATAATCTTTCAAGACAATCCGAGTAAGATCGGACGGCCCAAACGTTATTTTGAGCCCTGCCTGATAAAATAGCAAGTATTCGAGAATGGCGTTCTAGACCCACTCGGGAGTGACCCACACGGTTAGTAGCCCAATAATATGTTTGACAAATGTCAAATAAGTGATAGAATGATTAAAGAAGAATACAAATGCCTATAGTCCCATCTTTAACATTATTGAGCTAAATAATGGGAGTAGGATTTTCCTTCTATAATATCCATCAAGTAAATTATTGGGATGAGCCTACACATATTGGAGATCAATAATGTGATTTAATAAGTTGACTTGTTCTAAATAAATTAGAAGGAGTACAAAGAGACATCTTATGACAAAGAGATCAAAAGTGAGACCCACCCATGTCTAAAAACATCTCATGGAGACCATACCAATTCATTTCACTCCACACAACTTATCCACCCTTATTGAAGGGTCTTGGACACTCCCTTAAGCCCCTCATTCGAACTCCCAAGGATAAGGGAGAAAGAGAGAGCCACACAACCAAGAAAGCAAGAGGAAGGGGAAGCTGCCGCAGGTTCGTTTTCCAGTGCGTAAGGTTACTTGTTTTCTTCATATCTCGAGTTATACACATCCAAATAAGGCGTGCGATATACCCACAGAAAGCTCTCAAGACGAGGAATCTGTGAAGGTCTGGTTTGCATCAATCGGAGTAGTGGAAGGCTCCCAAATCGTCCGAGCAAAACACAACCTCGCGGAATACGTTTTTGTATTCAAAGTAAGTTTGAATCCAAAACCTTCCTCTCTATTGTCTAAACCATATAAATGATTGAAGAACTATTATACACTGATTTAAGTGTATAAAATGTTATTATAAAGTGACTTTAATTGTTGGAAAGGTTAGATACTAACCTAATCAAAACCTTGAAAGGTTAGGGAACGAATTCGTCGGGAAACACCCGTTCTAGGGACTGTTTTTGCATTTTCGGTTAGGAGTTGAACTAGCACTTTGAGGGGGCTGTTTAACACTCAATTCCAAGCAAGGAACCAGTTCTCAATCTTCCTTGGCCGAGGCCTTGGTCATTGGGTCGAGAAGGAAAGTTTTAAAGCTCATTTGAGGTGAGGACCGACATCTAGTTGCTTACAACTTGTAGGTTAAGCATGAGATTACCTAAATGCTAAAATCATGTTTTTCCATGGATTATGATGATAAATTATTGATGGAATATTGATCTATTTTCCAAAGAATGAAATGAGAAATGATTTGGCAAAGTATTGATAAAAATGGAGTTAAATGAACTATTGTGTGAAATAGTCATTTTACTCATGTGTGAATTGTGTAGATACATAAATGATTATTTATGTATTACATTGAATGATTAAGTTGTTGCTACATATCTCTAAATATGTAGGGTTTTACAAATGGAATATATGATGGATAAGAATAATCTTAATAGTATTGAAATACTAGTTAATGATTGTTGTAATTGTTAAGGAATTGAATCTATGGATTTGATTGAAATTGATGAACTTGATTGTGATGCAAGTGACTAAATTGATGTAATGCGATGCTAAGACCATGGTTGGGCAGCCCGTAAGGATGTCCCAAAATAGATTATTGATATTACAATTCTAGGCATAGTGAGTGCTTAGGAATTGGGGTCTATGCCAATGTAAGGAGATGTACTTGAGCCGTGCTCATAGAATTGCATTGGGTAGACATGATGAGGAGATTGTAGTGCTTAGGAATTGGGGTCTATGCCAATGTAAGGAGATGTACTTGAGCCGTGCTCATAGAATTGCATTGGGTAGACATGATGAGGAGATTGTAGTGCTTAGGAATTGGGGTCTATGCCAATGTAAGGAGATGTACTTGAGCCGTGCTCATAGAATTGCATTGGGTAGACATGATGAGGTGATTGTTGTGCATGGTGATGTAGTCGAGTTGGACTCGAGAAATGCACGGTGGAGTAGTTAGCTTATGTTAATTAAGGTGCATGGTGATGTAGTCGAGTTGGACTCGAGAATGCAAACATATGTGTTAGGGTTGAACCCTATGTATTGTTGTGACTAGGGGTCACGGGATTTTGGGGTATGTTTGATAAACAAACCTTGGGCCTACGGGCCGACTACTTGACTTTATATATAAAGTAAGTATATTTTTAAAGGGGTAACTTGGGGTTACGGCCTAGATTATATTATCACCCTATTTGAGGGTCTTGTGTTTGAAATACTTGTTGTATATCTATTAGATGCCATCCACACCAGCACTTTATAGCCCTATAGAGTGCTGACCCCTTCGGGGGCGTCCCACCACCATTTTTCAGGTTGAGGCTAGAGCTTGCTTCCTGTGCTCGTTGCTCGAGAGATCATCTAGGAGGGAAGACTTGGTTCGTGCTTCCTCCATTCGTTTTTTAAACATTAATAAACATGCTCATGGATATTTTACTTTAGAGCCTGCGTGCTCATGAATAGCCCTGTGTGGCCCTTTGTTTTAAACAATGTTTTCCGCTGCGTTATGAATTACTTATTATGTTTGTTTATGGATGTTACGTGTGTGAATGATATTCAAGACGCCTTGTATAATATGAATGTGTTGGACTGCGGTTGACTATTTGTATTGTACGGCGGGTTGTTGACGTGTCCGGGGAGGTCCGGGGCGTGACAATTAAGTTGGTATCAGAGCCTTAGTCCATAAACTTCATAATGAAGTCTCAAAATTCTCTTTTCAAAATGATTTTTGAAAACCATGAGCAAAAACGTTTTGTACTTAAGAACTTTTGGTGTTTGAGTTGCAAGGTCTCTAATTGTTAAGATGGCGCCCTTAACGATTGGTATGGCGGTGACTTGGCCCAAGAGATGTCTTAAGTGCCTATCTGTCAGTTGACATTTGAAACGAGTCTAATGACTCATTCTAATTATTTCTTTCAGCGATGGAGGGTGATGGTGGTATTATGAATAGGGAGAACTCGGGAGGGCTTGCACCGGGTGGAACCGGGCATGCCAACCGAGAAAAGCCCTTAGGACCAAAGGTGCATGAAATTCTTGAAGCTCAAATCGTGAGTGGTGGTCATGTTAAGACCAAGGAAGAATCATCTTGTTATGGCAAAACTGAACCACTCAAGGCTTCGGGTGACGAAGGAGATGATTTGAGTGATGAGGACCTTGATAATGCACCCATTGAACAAATGGGCATGGTCATAAATTGGCTTCAACGTGAACGTGCTAGGCTTATACAAAAACGCCAAGCTAGGCAAGCTAAGGACGCACCATTAGGAAGGAAAAGAAAATGGGGAGACCACGACCCCCAAGGACATTCTAGGAGGACAAATGTTGAGGGTGACAAAACCTTCGGGGCACACACATTATCGCTTGGGAGGAGCCGAGGCTCGGGTGGCCAGAGCTCGAGGTCAAAAGGTTCGAGAGTACCTAAGTGCACAAATTGTAAGAAGCACCACCCGGGTAAGTGTTGGGACCCTCCTAGGTGCTACCGATGCAGAGAGATCGGGCACACGAATGCGAATTGCCCACAACTTGTACCCGACCAAACTTTGGGCTCAAGTAGTACGACTATAGGCATACGGAGTCAAGCCGGGGCCTCTCAAGCAAGTAAGGAACATGGCGGAGCAAGTGTGAGTAACGCGCCGTCTGTGAATCAAGGGAGGACTCACGCTAGAGTCCATGCGATGGCGGGGGCGGATGCTCAAGCTAACCCGGATTCCGTTTCAGGTATCACCTCTCGTATACTTGTGTTTTATCCTTAATTAGTCCAAAAGTTAAGGTTACTAATCGTTAGGATCATTGCACAAGGTTTTGGGGTCGAACCGGGGGATTCCGGGCTACTTCAGGCGGCTGGGACCCAGGCACGATCGTGCCTAAGGCAGACACGATCGTGCCTCCAAGTCAGTAGCTGCCCAGGAATTTCCCCAGCCCAGGCACGATCGTGCCTAAGGCAGACACGATCGTGCCTACAAGGCAGTAGCTCCCCATGTGTTTCTCCAAACCAGGCACGATCGTGCCTAAGGCAGACACGATCGTGCCTCCAAGGCAGTAGCCCCCAGGGCTTTTTCCTGAGCCAGGCACGATCGTGCTTACCCCAGGCACGCCGTGCCTGGTACCCAGATTGCCGAAATATGATTTTTCGCACCGTTTTGCGACGATAAGACTTTTTCTTGATCCCTAACGTGCGTGTGAACATTGTAACCTTCTATAAATGAGTAGGGAGGGTAGGATAGATGTCTTACACGATTCATGAATGTAGGAACACTAAAGATTAATGGGAAGGATGCGCGAATCCTTATCGATACCGGGGCGCAACGTTCATTTGTGAATGAAGCGTTCGCCAAGAGATTGGGAGTGCAATCCGCACCATTGATGCAAACCTTAGTGGTATCAACACCACTAGGGGACGACGTGGAAAGAACTTGTTACTATCCATCTTGTGGGGTGGAGGTTAATGGTCAAACCTTGACGTGTGACTTCGTACCGCTGAGCATGATTGAATTCGATGCAATCCTAGGGATGGATTGGCTAGAAAGGAACCATGCCAGGGTAGATTGCTACACGAAGGTTCTTGAACTCGAAGGCAATGATGGGGAGACCCTACGCTTCGAGGGCGATCGAGGGAGATCAAATAGCTGTATCATATCCGCCGTGAGAGCGAGAAGTATGATGAGAAAGGGATGCCACGCATATCTAGCATACGTGGTTGACAAAACCAAAGAAGAAACGAACATCGACGATGTGAGGGTGGTTTGTAAGTATCCGGATGTCTTTCCAAAAGATTTACCGGGACTTCCACCCGATAGAGAGATTGAATTTGTGATCGAGGTCGAGCCCGGCACCAAACCAATCTCTATACCGCCATACCGTATGGTACCCGCTGAACTTAACGAGTTGAAAACCCAATTGCAAGAGCTTTTGGATAATGATTTCATTAGACCAAGCCACTCCCCGTGGGGAGCACCAGTTCTTTTTGTGAAAAAGAAAGATGGGCCACTTCGAATGTGTATTGACTATCGTCAACTGAACAAGGTCACAATCAAGAATAGGTATCCTTTGCCTAGAATTGATGACTTGTTTGACCAACTACGAGGGGCAACTGTGTTTTCGAAGATTGACTTGAGGTCGGGGGTACCATCAATTGAAGATTAAGGAAGATGACATACCAAAGAGTGCTTTCCGCACAAGGTATGGGCATTTTGAATTCCTTGTTATGTCGTTTGGGCTAACAAACGCCCCGGCGGCATTCATGGACTTGATGAACCGAGTATTTCATAAATACTTGGACCGATTCGTGATTGTGTTCATAGATGACATCTTGATTTACTCAAAGAGTGAAGAAGAGCATGAAGAGCACTTGATACTTGTTCTTGAGACCCTACGGGAGAAGCAACTTTATGCCAAATTTTCTAAATGTGAATTTTGGCTAAAGGAAATTGGCTTTCTCGGGCATGTGGTTTCGGGATCGGGAATTGCTGTTGAAAACAAGAAGATAGAGGCCATTACCGAATGGGAGAGACCAAAGAATGTCAAGGAAATTCGTAGTTTCCTTGGATTGACAGGCTATTATAGAAAGTTCGTGGAGAAGTTCTCTGTTTTGGCGTCGCCGTTGACGAAGCTCACTCGAAAGGGAGCTAGGTTTATATGGGATGACAAATGTGAGAAAGGGTTCATCGAACTGAAGAAGCGATTGACTGAGGCACCGGTACTTGCATTACCCAAACAGGGTGTGGGGTACGATGTCTATAGTGACGCGAGCATCCAAGGGTTTGGGTGTGTGTTGATGCAGGAAGGGAGGGTAATTGCCTATGCTTCACGACAGTTGAAGAAGCATGAGGTAAATTATCCTACCCATGATCTGGAGCTGGGAGCGGTGGTGTTTGCACTGAAGATTTGGAGACATTATCTCTACGGAGAGAAATGTCACATATATACCGATCATAAGAGCTTGAAGTACGTGTTTACTCAGAAAGAGTTAAACATGAGACAGAGACGGTGGATGGAGTTGATAAAGGACTACCATCTAGTTATTGAGTACCATCCAGGTAAGGCAAACGTTGTAGCAGATGCCCTCAGCCAGAAGAGTTCGTCTGGGGCATTGTTGACTAGTTTGAGGGCACTGAGGGCCCAATTGGAGGTATCTAGCGACGGTGCCTTATTGGCACGGTTCGAAGTGAGACCGACTCTACTTGATGAGATCAAGAAGGGTCAAGAGAAGGACACAGAACTTATGAAGGTCCGGGAACGCATGCAAGCGGGACCGGTGGAGGATTTCAGGGAAAGAGATGATGGTCTCTTGTTATTTCGTGACCGAGTGTGTGTACCGTCAGATGATGAGCTCCGAAGGTCCATCTTAGAGGAGGCTCATTCATCGGCTTATGCCATGCACCCGGGGGGCACGAAAATGTACCGTGACTTGAAAGAAAGTTACTGGTGGTCTGGAATGAAGAGGGAAATAGCCGAATACATTAGTCGATGCCTTACTTGTCAACAAGTTAAGGTGGAGCATCAGCATCCAGCAGGCTTATTGCAGCCACTTTCCATTCCTGAATGGAAGTGGGAACACGTGACTATGGATTTCGTGGTAGGTTTACCACGGACAATCAGGAACTATGATGCAGTTTGGGTCGTTGTGGATAGGCTCACAAAGACCCTTCTTGCCTATCAACACTACCTACCCACTTGAGAGGTTAGCCAAATTGTATACGGATGAGATCGTGAGGCTGCATGGGGTCCCAGTGACTATTGTATCCGATAGAGACCCACGATTCACATCACGTTTTTGGCCGAAATTTCAGAAGTCTATGGGAACAAGGTTGAAGTTCAGTACTGCTTTCCACCCACAGACGGATGGACAGTCTGAAAGAGTCATACAGATCTTGGAAGACATGTTGAGGGCTTGTGCATTGGAGTTCCAAGGAAGTTGGGACAACCACTTAGCACTTGTGGAGTTTGCTTATAACAACAGTTATCAGGCAAGCATCGGCATGCCTCCATACGAGGCATTGTATGGGAGGAGGTGTCGTACACCGTTATGCTGGGACGAGGTTGGCATGGCCAAACTCGAGGGTACTGAGTTGGTTGAGATCACCAAGTCAAAGGTGAAATTGATTCGAGAGAGACTCAAAGCGGCTCAGGATAGGCAAAAGAGTTATGCAGATAAGCGTCGAAGAACCTTAGAGTTTAAGGTTGATGACGAGGTATTCCTGAAAGTTTCTCCTTGGAAAGGAATCATTCGATTCCAAACCCGAGGAAAGCTTAACCCACGATATATAGGCCCATTCAGAATTATAGAGAGGGTTGGGGCCGTAGCATATCGTCTACAGTTGACTCCTGAGTTGGAGAAGATTCACAATGTATTTCACGTGTCCATGCTTAAGAAGTATGTGCATGATCCTTCTCATGTGTTGGAGAAGCCGCCCGTGGAGGTACGTGAAGATTTGAACTATGCCGTGCAACCGGTAAGAGTTATTGGCAGAAAAGTGAAGAAACTGAGGAGTAAAGAAGTTCCAATGGTTAAAGTCCTTTGGAAGAGTGACCGGGTCGAAGAAGAGACTTGGGAAACAGAAGCTTTGATGAGGAAGCAGTGTGCATTCCTATTCGAGTAGAGCTGTGAATTTCGGGGACGAAATTCCTGTTAAGGGGGGGTGAACTTGTGACACCGCTCCCGAACGTCCTTGAAAATTTGATTTAAAATTCAAAGTTTATGTATTGGATTTCTGATTCCCAAACGTTTTGTAAAACGATTAATGTTTTATGTAATTAATGATCGATTAGTGTACTGTTCGAACTCGTATATTAGTGTCGGGCATGCAAATACTATTTGGGTCTTATTAATAAATAAAAGAGCCCAACATTATCCAAATAGTGATACATAATCTTTCAAGACAATCCGAGTAAGATCGGACGGCCCAAACGTTATTTTGAGCCCTGCCTGATAAAATAGCAAGTATTCGAGAATGGCGTTCTAGACCCACTCGGGAGTGACCCACACGGTTAGTAGCCCATTAATATGTTTGACAAATGTCAAATAAGTGATAGAATGATTAAAGAAGAATACAAATGCCTATAGTCCCATCTTTAACATTATTGAGCTAAATAATGGGAGTAGGATTTTCCTTCTATAATATCCATCAAGTAAATTATTGGGATGAGCCTACACATATTGGAGATCAATAATGTGATTTAATAAGTTGACTTGTTCTAAATAAATTAGAAGGAGTACAAAGAGACATCTTATGACAAAGAGATCAAAAGTGAGACCCACCCATGTCTAAAAACATCTCATGGAGACCATACCAATTCATTTCACTCCACACAACTTATCCACCCTTATTGAAGGGTCTTGGACACTCCCTTAAGCCCCTCATTCGAACTCCCAAGGATAAGGGAGAAAGAGAGAGCCACACAACCAAGAAAGCAAGAGGAAGGGGAAGCTGCCGCAGGTTCGTTTTCCAGTGCGTAAGGTTACTTGTTTTCTTCATATCTCGAGTTATACACATCCAAATAAGGCGTGCGATATACCCACAGAAAGCTCTCAAGACGAGGAATCTGTGAAGGTCTGGTTTGCATCAATCGGAGTAGTGGAAGGCTCCCAAATCGTCCGAGCAAAACACAACCTCGCGGAATACGTTTTTGTATTCAAAGTAAGTTTGAATCCAAAACCTTCCTCTCTATTGTCTAAACCATATAAATGATTGAAGAACTATTATACACTGATTTAAGTGTATAAAATGTTATTATAAAGTGACTTTAATTGTTGGAAAGGTTAGATACTAACCTAATCAAAACCTTGAAAGGTTAGGGAACGAATTCGTCGGGAAACACCCGTTCTAGGGACTGTTTTTGCATTTTCGGTTAGGAGTTGAACTAGCACTTTGAGGGGGCTGTTTAACACTCAATTCCAAGCAAGGAACCAGTTCTCAATCTTCCTTGGCCGAGGCCTTGGTCATTGGGTCGAGAAGGAAAGTTTTAAAGCTCATTTGAGGTGAGGACCGACATCTAGTTGCTTACAACTTGTAGGTTAAGCATGAGATTACCTAAATGCTAAAATCATGTTTTTCCATGGATTATGATGATAAATTATTGATGGAATATTGATCTATTTTCCAAAGAATGAAATGAGAAATGATTTGGCAAAGTATTGATAAAAATGGAGTTAAATGAACTATTGTGTGAAATAGTCATTTTACTCATGTGTGAATTGTGTAGATACATAAATGATTATTTATGTATTACATTGAATGATTAAGTTGTTGCTACATATCTCTAAATATGTAGGGTTTTACAAATGGAATATATGATGGATAAGAATAATCTTAATAGTATTGAAATACTAGTTAATGATTGTTGTAATTGTTAAGGAATTGAATCTATGGATTTGATTGAAATTGATGAACTTGATTGTGATGCAAGTGACTAAATTGATGTAATGCGATGCTAAGACCATGGTTGGGCAGCCCGTAAGGATGTCCCAAAATAGATTATTGATATTACAATTCTAGGCATAGTGAGTGCTTAGGAATTGGGGTCTATGCCAATGTAAGGAGATGTACTTGAGCCGTGCTCATAGAATTGCATTGGGTAGACATGATGAGGAGATTGTAGTGCTTAGGAATTGGGGTCTATGCCAATGTAAGGAGATGTACTTGAGCCGTGCTCATAGAATTGCATTGGGTAGACATGATGAGGAGATTGTAGTGCTTAGGAATTGGGGTCTATGCCAATGTAAGGAGATGTACTTGAGCCGTGCTCATAGAATTGCATTGGGTAGACATGATGAGGTGATTGTTGTGCATGGTGATGTAGTCGAGTTGGACTCGAGAAATGCACGGTGGAGTAGTTAGCTTATGTTAATTAAGGTGCATGGTGATGTAGTCGAGTTGGACTCGAGAATGCAAACATATGTGTTAGGGTTGAACCCTATGTATTGTTGTGACTAGGGGTCACGGGATTTTGGGGTATGTTTGATAAACAAACCTTGGGCCTACGGGCCGACTACTTGACTTTATATATAAAGTAAGTATATTTTTAAAGGGGTAACTTGGGGTTACGGCCTAGATTATATTATCACCCTATTTGAGGGTCTTGTGTTTGAAATACTTGTTGTATATCTATTAGATGCCATCCACACCAGCACTTTATAGCCCTATAGAGTGCTGACCCCTTCGGGGGCGTCCCACCACCATTTTTCAGGTTGAGGCTAGAGCTTGCTTCCTGTGCTCGTTGCTCGAGAGATCATCTAGGAGGGAAGACTTGGTTCGTGCTTCCTCCATTCGTTTTTTAAACATTAATAAACATGCTCATGGATATTTTACTTTAGAGCCTGCGTGCTCATGAATAGCCCTGTGTGGCCCTTTGTTTTAAACAATGTTTTCCGCTGCGTTATGAATTACTTATTATGTTTGTTTATGGATGTTACGTGTGTGAATGATATTCAAGACGCCTTGTATAATATGAATGTGTTGGACTGCGGTTGACTATTTGTATTGTACGGCGGGTTGTTGACGTGTCCGGGGAGGTCCGGGGCGTGACATGCAAATCTCTCTAGATGGAGCACTAAGGGTGAGTTTGTGTGTCCTTTATGTGGCTTTTGATACTGCTTCAGAATGGTTTAAATATGGCGAAAATTATGTTATATGTGTCGTAGGAAATGACTTCCATCTAATCATAGGTGGCGATGTGAGGCCCAAAGTTTCAATGGAAAGCAAGAGCTACGAGTTGCTCCTACTCCAGGACACTCTACTTTGAAACAAGTAAAATGTCTTGAATTCCTACGTGATAATGTTGATCATGGTCCATGGAAGAAGAAAAACATTTGTTTGTAGTCGACTCTACAATAATAATCATAACTGAGAGTGTTCATAAAAATAATCCTAACAATGACTTATATAAGAGTAAATCGAGGTGAACTCAACTAATATCCATTTAATACTCCCAATCCCCGCCCTCACGTTCCCTTTTGCCACTCTTCCGACCTAATGAAAATCACAAATGCTGAAAATGATGTAGAGATTAAACGAGCACTAGTTTGAAATTTTGAATTCACCCATAGAAGAAGAGCGGAGAAGAGGAAAGTGAGAGCAGGGTTGAGAGTGGTAAACACACATTAGTTTAAATTCACCTCAATTCATTCTTCTCAACGCTATTTTTTTGTTTGGATTAATATCATGAACACTCTCTGTAGGGATTGGTTTTCTATCTTTTGGGATTAAAGTTTGGATGTTGTTGTTGTTGTCTCTGTAGGGATTATTATTCTAAAATCCCTAAAGTAGTGATTATTCTTATGAATTTCTTCAACTAAAATGGAATCTAAAACTACCCAGTTCAAACACGGAATACTCATTACTTGATGTGTTTATTATTTCTTAAATCATGTGTTTCGGCATGTTGTGTGAAAAATAAACTCAAATTTAATAATATTTTTTTTCTTTTATATTTATACTCTAGTGGTAACTGTTTTTATTGAACGGTAAGATGAGAAATTAAATATAAAAAGTTGTTGACAAAACAATATTGCACATTTCACAAAACTTTGGTCGGGCCAAGATTTATTTTGTGTGGATTGACAAATAAAATGCAATTGTTTTTTATATACAAGGTTGTTAAGATGAAAATTGACAAATTAATTGAATGGTGAATTTTTTAAAATGTTGTATAGGTTAAATGTTAATGTTGTATGTTGTTTAATTGATAGTCATAGATCAAACTTGATAGTCATATTATTGTTATTATAATCACATGTTCATTAGGACATTAGTTTCTTTTGTCTCGATGGTACGGTCTAGATTGCTCTAATCCATTGTAATTTGGTTTGGATGATTTGATATGGTTTCTTAAAATTTGGTATACTATGATTGTCTGCCTCATGTCGAAGACAACCTTAATTGGACTAATACGCCATTGCGTTTTATTGTCAAATCTCATTGCAATATTGCAATGGAAATCCTTTCATTGCACTATTCCAACCATTGCAAATTGTGTCTTTTCTTGTAGCAACGATATACAAGACTATACTTTTAGGTCTACTATGCTTGGTCAATCCACTTGAACTCAATTGGACTAATACGACATTGTGAATGTTATAGGTATGTATTGTACACTCTACTATAAAAAGTTGAAAGCTTTGTATAATCCAACCATACACTTTATTAAAATATACTATAATTACTTTTTAGGATAATTTATTTCTAAAAAGTGACACAATTGTTTCGAACTATAAAAAGGGAATGTGAGGTGGCTATTGTGATATAGAGGCAATAGTGAAGTAGATCATACTTCTTCGTCTCTAAATAATTTTATCACTTTTCTTGCATTGATATTCCTATATAAACTCTTTTTTACTCACTTAGCAATTCAAAATGAAACTTTTATATAGGGACGGAGGGAATATTGAGATACTTCCTCTGTCTCGAAAACAACATCAGAGTTTGACTAGCACACACTTTTAGGTAGATTAAGAATAACATTTGACTTTCCTTAAATGCCCCTAAAAGGCCACAACTGAGACCAAATAAAAGAAAGGGGGTAATGAACAGTCTTTGGGGGGAAAAATTGAAAATATCTTCAAGAATGAACTCAACACCCAAATGTTTTGTATGTACTTCCTTTTTAGACAATAAGGTACATTTTTGGGATAAGGGTCAGATAAGGCCTCAAACTTGAAAAAAAATGTCAAATAAGGCCATATTTAGGATGCTCTGTCCGGCCGACGCCATTTGGGGTGGTTCCCGGTGGAATTTTTTGATGAATTTTTTTGAGAATGTTATTCATTAAGTCTAGTTTACTCATATCAAATTTGAACTAACAATTCAATCGGGAAGGCATTCAAATGAATTCATGAAGATAACTGCGCTTTTAACGGTACAGTTATCTTCAAGAATTCATTTGAATGCCTTCCCGATTAAAGTTTTAGTTCAAATTTGATATGAGTAAACTAGACTTAATGAATAAGATTCTCAAAAAATTTCATCAAAAAATTCTACCGGGAACCACCCCAAATGGCGTCGGCCAGACAGAGCATCCTAAATATGGCCTTATTTGACATTTTTTTTCAAGTTCGAGACCCTATCTGACCCTTATTTCTACATTTTTTGTATTTACTTGCATATGTGCCCATAGTACATTTTTTTGTAGTTTCATTCATGCATGACATGCAAGTATTAAATGTATGACCTCAATGATTAAAGGAGTGTTTGCAAATGCTTTTGCTTTTAAAAAACACTTTTTGAAGTGATTAGTAGTAAAAATTAACAGTGTTTGAGAAAAAAGTGATTTTGAAAAGCAAAAGTTGGTAGTGTTTGATAAAATGTGTGTTTTTTGTGTAATAGAAAAAGTAAAATGCACTTTTCAGCCAAAAGCCGAGAAACGCTTTTTAAGTAGAAGTTGTCATTTGAAAACACTAATTTTAGCTTTTTTAAGCCAAAAGGTGAGAAGCGCCTTTTTAAGCGCTTGCAAACACTCTCTAAATGTAGAAGAAACAAATAATGTGTTGGATTATCAATCCATCTAGGCTCACATAGCTGACAAATGAAAACCAGTTTGACAATACATGGCAAACAAACCCTCCCATCTGCAGTGGGAGACAATCTTGTAAGCCCAAATCATATGGTACACATAAACACCAAACCTTTCTACACACAATGCCCTAATTGGCCTCCAACACTCTGCACAAGTGGATGACACAAGGACATTATGAAACAACTTCCCATAAAACTTTAAATTGTCATCAACATGTTTACTTCATACAAGCCCTATCATCACCCATCAACAAACACACATACGAACCAGGCACACATATGAATGAAACCCACACATTTAGTCTACAAAGTCAATGATTACAATCATTGTTTCAAATCTGCGACATAAGGTTGACAAAAGACAGTGACATAATCTAAAAGTGATGAGATTAGAAGCCTCCCCTAAGAGGAATTAGTGCCCAAAGGCATCCACGACCGCTTGCGACAATGACCAAAGATATGGTCATATGGATTCATATACCATGGAGCTGGTTTCTAGTCGACCTCCTCCCCTTCTTCATCTAAAGCTGGAAAGCATTCGTCAGTGTCCTTCATGCAGTCAGACCCCCACTTCTTCCGTTTTCCCCACCCAGAATCGGTTTCCGACGAACTTCACCCTCTATGTCGTTGGTCAGACTCAATTTCATCCTTGTTTGAGATGACTTCCGTTGAGGGCTTGTTCACCACAATGGCAAAGAAATTCACGTATCGAGAGCTGGGGTTAATATCAGAAACATGCACTTTTGGATCTAGGGTTTCATCATCACACGGTTCCATTTTAGGACCTTGATTTTCATCACCATGCGGTTCAATTTTAGGGACGAGAGTGAGCTTCATGTGCTCTATGGATGAGAAGGGGAGTGAGAGCGGCGAGTTGAAGAGTCTTCTAAAAAGAGGAGAGAGTGACTGGCGTACAGTTTAAATGAGGTGGTGGAGTAAATGGGGAAACCGAACAAGTAGTGTAATAATGGGATAATGGTTGGTGCATTTATGACATTTAGGTTGTGTAAACTTTACTTTTAGGGAAATGGAAAATTAATATTGGGACATCCATTTAAGAAAAGTGGGAAATTGTTTTTGATACGGAGAGAGTAAATCATAAGAAAATCATATTTATCAAATTGAGGACTGATCAACTAATAAAAAAATTAGAGCCCGTTTTGGTGACCCTTTTACAGTCTATGAGTCACATTTTTTCATAGTTAGTTAAATACGGTACGGGAATTAAACGGGGTTTAATACGTACGTGTTTTATTCGGTAACAAGAATGAAAAAGGCGGTCAAAAATTCGTTGAAAAATATGTTGACTTTTAAAAAACGTGTGAATACGTATATCGGTATTGATGGATAGTCTACCCGGGGGTATCTTATCCGAGGGGTTATTACGGGAATAACTTAGAGAGAAGTCAGAGTAAATAGGAGGAGAGAGAGTCGATTTTATTAAATGAACTCAGCGTGTGGAAGTTGGATGTCGATTATGTCGATTACAAGGAGAAATGGGCTGCTATTTATAGCAGCAATAAATGCGATGAGGGTACACGTGTCAGTAATCCAACGGCCGAAGGGTCACATCAGCCGGTTGGCACCGGCAGTGGTACGTTCACCGCATTGAATGCGGTTGGCGGATGTGACGTGGCATTAAATGCGGTGGTTGGCTGTCTCCAAAAGGAATCTTCGATGATTGAGCATGCTTGGCCGAAGGCTTCTGGTGTAGCCGAGGGCTCCGTGTAACCGAGGACCCCTGTGTAGCCGAAGGCCTTGTGTGACCGAAGACTTTGTTCAGCCGAAGGCCTCTCTGATGCCGAGGGCTCGATAATGCCGAAGGCTCATGTTTTTCGCCGTTTTCTCCCAGTAGCTTCTT